TTATCTGCCTGGGATTTGCAGGCTTCAAAATAGGGAGCAAATCCTTAAAAACACCCAACTTGGAAAAAAAAAAACAAAAAAACCCTGAAATACCACATATTTTACTTCTTCCTTTTAGTGGTATTTAAATGAGGTTTGGTTTCAAGATTCCATATTGTCCAGGATCCTAAAAACCAATGGCAAAAATACTGCTTCTCCTGCAGAAGACAACATTCCTGTGCACTGCTGATTACAGCTGCAACACTGAGAGAGTAAAAATCAGTTTGGGACAGGAAAAGGGAAATTCAAGGGAACAGCCAGCAAGCAAAGGCAGCTGCATTTTTAACAAAAAGCAAGAAGGCACAGTGCTATGAATAAATCAGAATTTCCTTGAGTGTGACAGAGGAGTGACACCAGTATTTATGAGTATAATGCCCATGAACTGAAGGGTAATTCATGAGTGTCTTCAGAAGGAGCCGCTTGTAAAGTTGGGAAGTTCACCACTGCCACAATGCCATGGGATCTGGCAGTAGATGCAGCACAACCACCCCAAAAATGCTGCCATTTTACACTTGAGGACGTCCAGAAACAAAAAGGGGATGCTTCCCTTAACAACCAAAGTGCAAGACTCACTTAAAAAACAAACACAGTACCAGTAATAAAATTTAAACCCCACTAACTTTCCAGTGGAAGGAAAAATCACTGAGAGCACTGGGAACAGCTTTGTGTAGACTGGGGGAACATGTCTTTGCCATATGAAGCACCTTCTAACTCACCAGCAATAAAAGATGATTCCCAGCAAATCCATTAACAGGGAAACATTTAAATCAGCCTAAAACCCATGCATCAAAGAGGCCTTTCACCCCAAGCAAGGTGGATGTTGCTATTTCACCAATGCTCATTTAGGGGATGGAGCAAATGTGCAAAGCTGTAAGCTGGGTGTCCATCCAGGCAAAGAACAGGAAAAGAAAAAAAATCTGTGTTTTCCCAGTAAAGAATTCTGAGAACAAGGACACCGGTAGTGCCAGTCAGCACGTTTAAATGTCTTGATAAAGGACTAACTTTGTTTTTTGGAGATTACAAATGCAGTTGAGCAGAGTCAGGTACATGCACAGAGCACACTCTGGTTCTGGTGGAAACCCACATTGGCTGCTCCGGATCCGAGAGCTGTCAGTCAGCCAGCTCTTCATCTACTTCCTGGGATTGCATCATGCTAATTTTTATTTTTTTTTTGTCACTAAATTTAAGGTCTGATGCAGTTCAACATTTTTATCACTGCAGATAAAAATCTGTGAGTGACACCAGGCCTGTAGCACAACAGGACTTTATTAGGAGGAAAGGACAGCAGGAGAAAGGAGACTGAAAACCTGCCTTAAGTTAGCTCAGGAAAGCCAAACCCATCAGAATACAAAGGCTAATTTATAATCTAAAAAATGCAGACTGTAACTACTAAATGGCAGACTTCACTTGAGTAAAGAATGTCAGTGCTGGGGCAGCGAGGCTCATGAACAGGATTTCCCTGTGGGAACCTTTTCAATGGCTGTGCAGCAAAAAGGGCTAAAGGCACCTCAGAATTTGGTATGGATCAAGCACAGGCTGGAACAGGCACCTTTTCTGCTCTCCACAATGTTAAAAATAAACGGAGACCATGAAGAATCACCGGATGATCTGAGAGCTGGAGAAAATGCCTCAGAGTGAAACTTAAAAGCTCAACTCTGTTTCCTTATCTATCAAGTAACTTGATTACATAGTGTAAGTACCTTCATGGCAAGAAAAGTCTTGGATACTAAAGGGCTCTAATCTTGTCAGGAAAACCTAACAAGAACCAGCGGCACAACTTAGACTAATTCAAATTAGAAATCAGCCACTTATAACTACCAAGAGAAGTGATGAGCCTGAAATTACCAGTGATGGACACTCAGGGCTGGAAAGCTTTCACATTGTTTTTAGCCAAACATCATTTACTGGTCTCAGTTTCAGAGTAAATGATTAAAATTTAAAGGCCTGTGATACAAAGCATATAAAACATATCAGGGAAGGCAATTTAATTATCTGTTCTCGCCTTAAATTTTATGAATCTCCAATATGTTAACATGACTCGACTTCTGTGGACCAGGAAATTAAAGAGGGAGGAATAAGTTTCAAGCTCAGCAAGTTCCCTCTTTTTCAGACTTATCACTAAACAGCACCACTTCACCAAACAGATGGAACTCCCATGAAATACAAACAGGGAATGACCAGCTATGATGTCTAGAAATCACATGTAATGCAATTTTAGTTGGGCAAACTCTGCTCAGCTACCTATCCCTCCCACCTGGGCCCCGAAAAATCAGTATTAGCTTAAATAACCAGTTCTCATTCTGGGTAACTGCACCTCTGACACCCAGGGTTATATTCCCAAGAGCAGCAGCACCCACTAAAAGCCAGCCAAGAATCTCTACAGACTTCTGAAACATAAAAGCATCTCAACAGCCCTGAAAGGATTATTTCCATATTCTACCCTGGAACACGGGCAACTCAGAAAGTTTGCCGTGGGTAATAAAATAAAATAAAACTTATGGCAGAGCCTAGAAAGGAAATTTCATTGCCAGGAAGAACTTTCCAACACTCGAGCACCACTTCCACATCAGAGCTGCTGCACACCCAGTTGATCAAACCCCCCAAACGCTGCCAGTTAAATCACAAAGAGATTTCTGGTCAAAGCTGACATTGTAATCAGAGAATCTGATCATGGCAGAGAAACTGTCCAAAGTAAAGGTCAGAATAAATATCCAAGCAGGAAGAGTGCTTGTATTTGATGAACTAACTAACTGCTTTCTGCTGCCATCAGTATTACAGTGCCACAGCAAGAACAAAAAGCAGATTCAGTGCTTGCCTCAGAGCTCAGAAGGAACGGGCAGCTCGAAATGCAGGAAATGACTATATGCTGCACTTCCCAATTGATAGGGCAAAGCTTATCAGAAGAACAAAACTGGCTGTTCACAAGGCCACTGAAAGAGTAGCCTACACTATTGTTTCAGTGGTAGTTATCCTGATGCTGAACTAAAAAATGCTAAGGAAGTGAAAAGAAAAAAAGGCTTCTTAAATATTAAGTTCAGAAGTGGGGAGAAGACCAATACCAGGAACTCAGGACAAGATTCAACTGGGGGCAGAGCCAAACATAATTAATAGAATTTTTATGCCTGGCTTGTCAATTCCTTCCTTAACCCAACATTAAAATCTCATCTACCACGACAGCAGTGAGTGAGATTCATGTAAATTTAATAAAGCTTAAAAACATAACTTGTACATATGGGGAACAAAAAAATGCCACCTCTATGCTTGAGGCAGGTATCAAAATTTGTTTCCTCAGGCTGGAAGAAACTCTTCCCTGGAAGCAAAACTCCACCCATTGGGCAAATGGAGACTGGAAGCACTCCCTGCCAGCATTCCATGGGCACACACATGAAGTGGGATCTTTGTCAAGCCCTATTACAGAAGCCATTTAGGTGTATTCATGTACAACCTGCTGGAAGGGCTCTGCCTGATAACGAGTTTTAGGCTGGTAATTGCACTGAAACCAAGATGAGATGATGAAGTGAAAGTTCAGAGTGGAATTCTGTAGGAAAAAGTGAACTGACCTTCCAGAGCTCCTGGTTGGCTGCACAGGAAGATAAAGCAGAGCTTACTCTGTCAGGGGCACCACGGCAGTTCCCTGTTTTAAGAGCAGACTTGAACTTCAGACTCTGCCTGCAGCTTTGATTTAGAACTGGGAAAGGGAAACACCTCCACACAGACAGGGAGAATAACCAGCTATAGATTATTTAATTCTTAATAAAGCACATGAAAACAGCGATTGTTCAACCTGCATTAACATGGGGCTGAAGTAGAACAAGTGACAAATACACCTGTGCATTCCTGACATAGATCTGAAGCTCAACACCAAAAAAATCCTATTGAATTAAGCAGAAGAAAAGCAGTACAAGAAAGAAGGGAATCCCTCACAGTCTTGGGAGAAAGTTTGCTTTGGACTTGATGGGAGATGGAATATAATGGATTTAAAAGCAAGAAAAATAACTGAGTAAGTAAGTGTTCAGCCACAGAAGTCACAGTGGGAAATCCTCCCATCATCATAAAAATAATCTCTGGACTTAGATATTGTTAATGATCACGTCAGGTGACCAGCAAATAAATTCCTTGTAAGATTACTGTATATCAATATATCACAGATGGAAAGAGCAGCAGATGGGAGGAGACACCTGTGTCGAAGTGCTGCTGCCTCAGTCTGTGACTTTACACGAGCCACTCGGCCTTTGTGCCTCAGTTTCTCCAGCTGTAAAACACCAGTAATACCTCTGTCAAGCACTTTTACAGATTTACAAACAGAGGCAGAAAGCATTGTTTTGACATGGAACAGCAAAGGAGGGCAGTGGCTCGGCCAGAACAATCGAGTGGGAGCCACTGGAGCCACGCTGCTCCGGCCACCACAGGAGCTACGGCCATAAATCGATCAGCCCTCATTAGGCCGGGCTTTACAACGCTGTAACTGTCACAGCAGCTGCTCCAGGACTGTGACACGAGCCCTGCAGTGTCACACGGGGAGCCTGCACCACCACCAAACCTCTGCTAAAGCCGACTGCAACAGCAAAGAACGGGAGCTGCCCGAACCCGGCAGGCTTTTTAAGGTTATCAAGGATAAAAGCTCCTCCACGTGCTCATATGACCACAGTGTAACGCTGTGTAAGCACCCAGTTGAGAGGGGAAGGATATAACCAAGAGCCTGTTTAAAGAAAGGGATATATTCACTTGAAATCTGCAGGCACAACACAAAAATAAATGTGTATCTCATAGTGACAAGATGAAATTTTTGGTTGGTCAGTGACTACAAAGCTGATTCTCTACTTCTGGCTGTGGACCACATGACAGCCTCAAATACGTAAGAGCATTTTATCTGCCAACTTGCAATGAAGACCACATAGTTAATAGTTTGCAACCTCCTTTCCCCCAGAAGATCTTCAGAATTGAGTAATAAAATTCCTCACATGATTTCAATGAGAGGGTTCACTTGTCAGGGGCTGTTTGGAGATAGTATCATATGTCAGGGAGGTGCTGCTCAGATCAAGTTTTCCAACCTTGTTTTTTCAAGGCTTGACTGAAAATGAAAAAAAAAACAACAACAACAAAAAAAACTTCAGGCGATAAAGTTTGAAACTGGAGAAAAGAGAAATAATCTGTAGATGTTATTTTCAAAATGTCAAAGTTAGCCAATTAACGAGGGGAGGAAGAAAAACTGATTAAAGCCCTGACAAACCCTTGAGATCACAGACTGATTGCGAGTTCTGCTGCAGACTCCCTGTAGGAACCTGGGCAAGTTGATCTCTCTACACCTTTGTTTGCCACCCGCGAGACAAAAAATAGCACTTGCTTTTCATATCCTGTCATTCTTGCTTCTATTGTTCCCCAAATTAAAAGCATTTGTCAAAACACTTATCTTTAGCATTAACCCTGGGAATTGCATTCACAGCTATCACACAACCCGTTTGCATGACTGAGTGTTCAAAATACAAACTCTTAGTACACTTTGCTACCCAGGCATCCTAATTTAATACGAGTCAGAAGGGAGCTTTAGTCAATACAGGAATATTAGAATGCTAAAATATAGTTTATTACTAATCTCACAAATAAAACCAGCTTTAGGATTACGAGTCAGACCGACCTCCCCTCAAAAAAAAAATTAAATTCTCCTCATTATGTCCTAAAAATCCTGCTGTAATCACAGTATTGGTCTCACTGCATTGATAACCCACAAGATCATATCATCAGCATAGGTATAATTAAAGTCCAATCCCACGAGGACATGTATGGAGAATCCAATCCCCGCTCTGTTAAAATCAGCGTAACATGAAATCAACTTCAGGGACTTTAAAATAAAAGCTGCATGAAGTTATGGACAGGAGGAACAAAGGCATCTGTTTTTTGCAGTAAGATTCTTAAGCTGACAGTATTTTGATTTCAAATTCTAGAACTTTGCAGATGAAAAAGATTTGCTACAGATGCCAATACTGTAGCCTGTCATTCTGTAATGTCCTTAAAAGCTCTGCACAGAAATCACTGTGAAGCACAAGTTGCTTTCTTTAGATCAAAATGTACTGTTGTTTCCTGAAAATTCATTTGTTTTCTAACAAAAACAACCAAACACTTTCCCAAATCCATTGGTGTAAGAAACAGCACGGTTTCCTCATGGTTCAGTTTCATTAATTCTCTTAATTCTCCCAATTCTCCACCCAAAGACCCAAATTTCACCCCTGCCCCACTGACACACAACACAAAAAGAGCAGTCCCAAAAGTTAATGACAGAACAATTCCCGACAGTCACACTTAATGCATTTTGCTAAAAAGTAAATTAGTATAAAAATGAATGTCAGAGCCCCACTCTTTTCCCAAATCCAGACAGCAATGAAAAAACATACCAAACATTCCCATGAACCTACGGATTATCACTATAAACACTCCATAATATTTAGTTTTCAAAACACTGCACAGCTATCAACCTCTAATATCTTTTTTCTAACAGACCAGTAAGACCCATACAGAAACTGCCTTAAAAATAAGCTTCCTGCAGCTGACACCAGCTACTGATTGCATGGAATTATCAGAATCACAATGCTAGAGAGAAGCACGTTGTCCAGAAAGGTCAATAAACGCAGGGAGTAGCTTGACACTGCTCAGTGAAACAGTTCTAGAGATAACCAGGCCTCACTCACACAGGATTTTCTCCCAGATTTCCTTACCACTCCTTAAAAATCCTGCTGTTTCACCTAGGGTAGCATTCCTGTAACCCAGCTGGCAGCCTGCATACCACAATGTCGTCTAGACCTGCTCGGAACAGTGGGATGACACAGGAGTAAAAATGCTGATGCTTGTTCTGGTGCTTGCACTGGTGCTAAGGGAACGAGGGGAGGAAGAACAGGCAGCACGGAGTGAAACACAAGTTCCTTGTTCCCAGCCTCCTGCCCAGGCTCGTCGGGTAATTCTGTCAGCCACACAGAAAAAGTTGTGGCCCTTGCAGGGCTAAAGAATAATCTTCACATAAGGGGAAAAGAACATTCCCAAACCTCAGTTTTCACATGCAGAAACAAACCCTGCCCTTCCCCAGCCCAGTGCTCCCCGGACATGCAGATAACAAATGCATCCCTGCACACACAATATTTTCCATCCCTTTCTTCCTTCTCCCCTCTCTCTGTCTCAGAGATGTTTTCTTAGCAATTTGGAAGAGAAATGGTAAAAAAGGAGATGCAAAGCACAGAAATAAATTAACTTTGCTCTCCGCTGTTGACGGATTTGGTCTTAGCATGATGGGAGAAAAAAAATGTTAGGAGTGATAAATCCATATATACCTACTCCAAACTACACCCCGCTTCCCAAGGGACACGGTATAATGGTAAATAAGTATAGATGCAGTTCCTACTAATGAGGCAGGGTACAGCAAGGCCAAAGAAAATGCAATCATCTCAGGGAAAAAAACTGCACAGGACTCCTCCTCTCCCATCCACGGAGGAAATCAAATGCCAGCTGCACCATCCCAGGAAGGAAGCAGAGCCTGTACCTGATGAGCCCTGCAGAAATGAGCGAGTCATATCACGGGACCCGAGCAGGCACTTCAGGCTTTCGCCAGCCCACAAATCGTCTGCAGAGCACAGTTCCTCGCTCCGGTATTGTACATGGCATCATTCATGCAAATTGTAGGGGTATTTTTCCCCAGTGTTTTCTTTTTTTCTTCCCTTCATCGCTACCAGTGTGAAGCAGGGAGACGTAGGTAGCGTCTCCCAGATCCGCGTTCCCTGCCCATCACTTTAACGCTTTCCTCCCTACAAAGTTTAAATCTCCCCAGATTTTTGTTCATAAACGTTTTGTACTTAAAAGCCACCGAATCACACTCCCAGTGTTACTTGAACAAATTGAGACGGACTCGACTCCACAAACATGCTTAAACCTTAATTTCCTCTTCCTTCTTCCTTCCCCACCCCCCCAAAAGAGCTTTTTTTTTTGTCCCTAACACGAAAAAACTAGGGAAAAAACAGCACGTCCAACCAAGGCTTTTCCAGACCTATCGCAAAGAACAAAATGCTTCCGAAGAAGTGCTCTGCAAACATACCAAGAGACACTCCACCAACTAGGGAAAAAAAAAATAAAAAAATAGGAAAGAACCCATCAGACAAAACTGAGGTGGAATAACTCGGCGGGGTCTGGCTCGGGTGTGTATTCTGCACCTAAATACACTCGCTTCTTGTTTTGTTTTAACCCCGAAGCTGAGGCAAACACTCCAGCAGAATCTCCTGCCTCCCCCGATCGCTCCTGCGGTCAAACCGTTCTGACCCAAAACCATCCCGGGCACGGGACACAAAAGCCTTTACCCTGCACCGCTGTTCCCCACCTCTTCCCAAGAAGTACAAAACAAACAAGCGTCTGACACCCCACCCAAGCTCTCCTCGCACATTTTGGGAATGACTTCCCTCCGGGTCCTCCTCCTCCCCCACCCGTTCCCATGTTAAACTCTCCAGCAAACAGACACCCTTCTGGTTTCACGCCTTTTGCCCTCCCCGAAAACCTTCCGAAGCCCTAGGAGCTGCCAGAGACCTCATAACCCTGGGAGCCGGCGGGATTTAGGGCACCCCTGAGCCCCGTTTCCCCGACCTCCACCGGCCCAAAGCTCCCGAAAAGGAGCTCCCAGATCCCTCGCACAGCGCAGAGCTCCTCGGCAGAGCCAGGGGGTTCCGTGCCCGGCTCCATCCCCGCAGGTCGGAGCCTCCCTCCTTCCCCTGCCGATCCCGGGGGTCTCCGGGACAGGGAGCGCCGGGGGTCGCACCAGCCCACCCCAAAAACTCCGCGGCGAACAAGACGCGAACACCCCCAAAGCGCAGCACCCACCCAGGCTGAGGGGGGCTCCGCGGCCGCCACTCCGTGCCCCACACCCGGGAGATGGGAGGAATCAGAATAAATATACAAATGGAAGGAACAGCGAGCCCCAAAGGTGCCCTGCCCTCCCGCTGCAGCCTCCCGGGGACACCTTCCTCCTCCTCCTCCTCCTCCCCCGATCCGGGGGCACTCGCGGAGCCCCCCAAAAGCCGAAGCTCCAACTCTGCCGCCCGTGCTGAGGGGCTGCCCCTGCCCGCCCCTGCCCACCCCTGCCTGCCCCCGGCTGCCCCCCTCACGCACATCCCGCTCTCCGGCTCGGCGCGACTCCCGGCGGTGCTGGCGGAGGGGGGACCCCTTCCCGCTGCCCTCCCTCCCTCCAGCCCACCCACCCGCCCGCCCCCTCCCCTCGCCACCGCCGCTCCCCCCCCGTATCCCCCCTCGACACTCACCTCTGGGTGCTGCCGGCGCCTCCGCCTCACCATGGACCGGCTGGACTGGGGGGGTCCCCCCGCCCCAGATTGAGGGGGGATTAATGGGGGGCGCGGAGGGACGAGAACAATAGGGGGGAGGAAATCCCTCAGCCCCCCCACGCCCCCCGAGGACACAACCCCCTCCCCGCCCGGCGCTCCTCCTGCCGCTCCCTCCTCCTTGCCCGCTCCCTCTCTTTTTTTTTTTGGTTTTTTTTTTTTTTTTTTTTTTGGCTCAATCACACCAGACCGACTGTCTTTGTCTGTCTGACAAGCGCCATGTTGATATCAACATCCGAGCCCCCACCTGCTGCAGCTGTGAGACCCTGGGACTTGTAGTTCCCCCTCCCCAGGGTGACGGGGAGACCCGCGGCGCTAGGACTACAACTCCCAGCGTGCCGCGGGTGCGCGGCGTGCCAATGGGGCGCCGGGGCTGAGCTCGGGGCGGACTACAACTCCCGGCATGCCTCGGGGCGGCCATGACGTTATCTAAGGCGGAGGGTAGGGCGGGACTACAACACCCATGATGCCCCGGGGCGCGGCGGGGCGGGCAGGAAGGGGTGCAGGATTGTCCCGGTAAATAGAACCGGGGGACGCGATGAAGCTGGTGAGTGCCCGGGCTGGGGGGCCATGAGGGTGGGGAGGGGTCTCGGCCTTCCCCCGGCGGCGGGGGGGCTCCTGGGGTCGCCTCCAGGCTGCGCAGTTTCAACATCGCCAGGCGTGAGGGGAAATTGAGGCGCTGGAGGGGGGCCTGAGGGAAAAGGGGAGGAGATGATCCTGAGGGAGTTGTGGGGGTGGACTGAGGGAAAAGAGGGTGATACTGGGGCGGGGAAGGGCTGAGGGAGGGGCAGGGGTCGGCCCTGAGGTGTGGGGGAAGGCGGGGGTCGGCCCTGAGTGGGGAGGGCATAGAGGGGGCCGCTGCCCCTGTTTGAGGTGTTAGATGGGATCAAATCTTAGTAGGATTCTGGAGGAGGAGGAGAAAATGTTTCTCAGGCTTCCTACCCTTAAACATGTCTCTGGCGTGGAGTTTTCCTCCTGCACGTGTGGCTTCTGGTGGACTCAGCTAGGAACGTGAATAAATCCCCGTGGTTTGTGATACAGACGTTTTCCATCTGCAGTGTGATAATATAGGGACATACTAATTAAAAAAAATCAGTTTGGAACAGTTTGCACCTTGCTTCTGACAGGAATTTTGGTTCTGATATTACAGTCTTCTGTCAGAAAGTACATGACCCATGATATTGGTCTCCTCTCTTGAGCTGTTTAACTTTCCTAGAGACCTCGGATTCAGACGCCGCTTTGTTTTCCAGGAAGAATTTCAGTTTCACGCAATGTGCTGCAGTCCTCAGTCTGGAGGTGAAAACCCAAGCAGTTTTCAACATACCTGAGCATAATATTTGATTTATTTAATCTGAAGTGACACCGTTATTCAATTGAAGATTGTCTCTTGGTTTTGACACTGAGCAGTGTGTTATAACAAAGCTTCATAGAAGTAAATGTGGATTCTGGGCTGTTTTAACCACTCTCTCTGGAAGTGTTTACAATTAATTCCAGAGGCAGGTGGTCAAGGAGCTTGATCCTGCTTAATCTTACCTGTGTGATAAGGATCTGTGCAGGGATGAATATTACCAGTGGGACAAACACTGCAAAGTCAAGCACTTCTGGGTGTGATTGTAGAGACTGATAGAATTGAATGGGGAAAAGCAAACTGGGAAATCTTTATTTAAAGACCCCAGTGGAAATGCAGAGCACTTTTAATGTTTAGAGTTTTGCATAGGGACAGAGAGAGGAAAGGGGTAGGGAGGGGAAATAGGGAAATACAAACTGGAGTCTGCACTGGAGCATTTTTAGACCTGTTTTAAAGTTCAAGTATTGAGAATTATACGGTGAGATTCTTCACCTTATATTTTTCTGGAGATGTGTCTGAGTTTGGGGTTGTGAAGAGAGGAGTCAGATGCTTTTCATCCTCTCTTCTCATAGATTTGGGTTGAATTTGGAAGAACAGGGTAGAGGTGAGGGACCAGTGGAATGTTCCCTGTCCATGGCAGAGGGCTTGGGACAAGATGAGCTTCAAGGTCTCTTCCAACCCAAACCATTCTGGAATTCTGACTCCAGGCCTGATTCAGAATCCAATGAAAATGTCAGACTCCCACAAACTCCAATGTCCTTTGACACAGGCAAATCTCAGTGCTCATTTCTGCTCAGATTTTAAGCTGGCATGTGATACTAATAGTTGAGGAATGCACTGCAGGATTTGTTGGCTCCACTTGGAATTCCAAGTGAATTGGAATTCAATTCTTAATTGAACTGCCTTTAACCTGCACAACTCTGAGTGTTTTGGAGCTGCAAGTTTGGGCCACCATCTCTGTTCTCTGTAACAGCCAGGAAAGCTGTGAGCTGAGCTGGGCATATTTATGCCTTTTGTGTGTTTTGTGTCTTTTTTTACATGACTTTTGGAGTTAAGATGTGAGGCACCTTTGTGTGTTGGCTGCACCAATCTTTAGCCATAAGGGAATAAAGCTGGAAGCAAATCTTGGAACAAAAAACTTGCATTTTAGTCCAGTCAGGAACATGACTGAAAGTTCTGGATCTGTTTTAAACAGTAAAAAATATAAACTGTGTGGAAATGATCACATTTGTAATGTGTATAGAGACACACATAGTACAAACACTCCCATTCCTGGATTCTTAATCTAAAATTCTAACAGAGGTGCAGGTCCAGCAATGTCACCTGTGCAAACAGCTGTATAGAAAATATGAATTATTTTTTTAAATTTTTCTGTCACTTTTTTTGAATCTGGTAGAAAGAATCCATTGACTCTCAGGATTCCATTTACCACAGTGTGACAGCAACAGAGAGAGATGATTTTAACTGCTTTTAAAGAAGGAAGCAAGGTTTTCCAGTTAGCTTCGAGATGTCAGGGTTGTGATACTACTCATGATTATAAAAAAAGGCAAGAAAATGTTTTGCTGATAAAGTGGTGATATTTCATTGCCTTTTTTAATTACCAATAGTTTAAAAGCTGCAAAAATAGAACTTATTTTTCCCTTCATTTCTTTCTATTTACTTCAATTTATAGCTTCATTTGTCAAAGTTCTGGTCTGGTGAGAACTTAATTTCACGTGAGTGTGTTACATTTGTGAATAAACCAAGTGAATTCTTCACTCCTTCACCAGCTTGGCTTTGCATATTTTTCTTAAACTTTACTAAAAGAAAGGCAAAATGTGATGTAACTCCTTAATAATTAAGGCTTTGTGAATTTAAAACAGAACTCTCTGTGATATTTTAAATTTAATATTTGGGGCTTAGTCGGTTTTACTATTTAAATATAGTTTAAAGCAGGTTTTTGAGGAATGTATGTAAACAGACTCCTTGAGGGCTGTTAATCCAGACAGTTGCAGTCTTGTGTTAACATTATTGTGAGCAGAGTTAGAAAATGAAATTAATAAACTCCCTTCTTTCCACTTGATAGAAAATGAAATTAATAAACTCCCTTTTTTCCACTTGGTAGAGGGAAGTATAGAACACAAGCTTAAGGGATAAATGACTTGGAGAAAGACTGAGTCTGTTTTTGTGCAGTGCACAGCCAAACAAGTGGTATTTTTCATCTTCATTGACAAAAACTTGAATTTCAAAGCTCCAGTTTGAGCACCTGAGCTGCCAGATGCCCACACTTGGGAGACTGGAAATAAAAAAATCCCTCCTCGGAGCAGAGGAGCTCTCCCGCAGAGGTGGCCACGCTCTGCTCAGACATTTGTCTCTAATCCCACGTTTTAAACCCGACCTTTCTGTTCTGTTCTCCCTCAAAGCTGCCGTGCCTCGTTAAATGTTTGTCACTCCAGACAGGAGGTGGCTGCATCTCAATGATGCTCAAGTGCCCCCTACATCACCTGCTCACCGCCTCATTAAGCTTGCAAAGCCTTTGGGATTTGGATACACAAACCTTTCCATTCAGGTGGGGTTGCCCACTCCCTCCTGCTTCCTGTTTGTGTTTAGTAAGACAAAAAAGCAGGTGAGAACTTGCCCCAGAGCTGCTGCACCTGTGCAGGGGTTGTTGGGGCAGGTTTCTTACCAAAATAAAAACTTGTGTTCCTGCAGGGCTTCTCTGCCTCCCTGTCCATCTCGAGTCATTTTTTAATTTTCTAGACAAGTTTTTCCAGGAGGGCTGAGTTTGGAAGAAGCTGATTTCCTGGGTTTTTGGGGAAAATAGGTGATTGCAAGACAAAAAGAGATTCTGCATGTGTCTTAAATCAGAGAGAAGAGCTTTGCCATCCACTCAACCCTTGGGATCAGAAAAACTGTCTGAAGAAAATCTGCCCCTTAATAACCTGACATAGGGAAATCTTAATGAAGACACACAGCTGTGGGACACAGATTCATGGGAAATGATGTTTTATTTTGGTGTATAAGGAACTGTGTTTAAAAACAAGGGGGGAAAGGCAATTTGTGAACTCCATTCACAGAATCACTGAGGTCGGAAAAGACCTCCACGATCGAGCCCAACCTGTGACTGACCCCACCTTGTCACTGAGTGCCACATCCAGTCCTTCCTTGGACACTTCCAGGGATGGGGACTCCAAACCTCCCTGGGCAGCTCCTCCCAGTGCCTGACCACCCTTTCTATGAAGAAATTCTTCCTGGTGTCCAACCTGACCCTCCCCTGGCACAGCTTGAGGCTGTTCCCTCTCCTCCTGTCCCTGTTCCCTGGGAGCAGAGCCCGACCCCCCTGGCTGTCCCCTCCTGTCAGGGAGTTGTGCAGAGCCACAAGGTCCCCCCTGAGCCTCCTTTTCTCCAGGCTGAGCCCCTTTCCCAGCTCCCTCAGCCTCTCCTGGTGCTCCAGCCCCTTCCCCAGCTCTGTTCCTTTCCCTGGACACATTCCAGCCTCTCAATATCCTTGCAGTGAGTGGCCCAGAGCTGAACACAGGATTCACCAGTGCCCAGCACACAGGGAAGGGTCATGTTCTGAAAGATCCTGAGTAACTCTTCCTCATTCTTCTTCCAGTACTGCCTGTCAGGACATCCAACCTTGCCATGCAACGTGCTCAAGTTCAAATCCACCACCATCATGCTGGACTGTGGGCTGGATATGACGTCTACCCTCAATTTCCTCCCACTGCCTCTGGTCCAGAGGTGAGTTCTGTGGCCTGTCAGCACTTAGTCTGCATCTTCTTGGGTTGCTGTGCCTGAAATGGTGTATTGGAAGGAGGGAGGAGATGGGTACAAATGAACAGCATCATCTGATATCATAAATAGACTTTGTTCACTTAAAAATTCTCTTTATCAAAATAACGTCCTTTGGCTCAGTAGACGGAAGACATTTTATGGATTTATTGATTGGTTTTTCTAGATAATTTATTCTAAGCTTCAGTAAAGTATTGCTGCAACTGCTCAGCACAAGTGAGGTCACATATCTGTCATCTTTCTGGCTTCTTCATGCAAGATGAGATAAATGGGTAACTGAGCTGGAGTGTGTGGAGCCCAGCAAGTCCTGTTTAACCACCATCTTCTCAGGCTGTTCTTCAGAGCACGGACTAATGCAAAGAAAAACAGCATTTAGCAGCCCCTGTTAGTTGCCTGCATGGCATCATTGTTCCCTTTTAAAAAGTTAAATAAATGAAAGGGCAGTGCAGCTGGGCACGGGATTGGAAGAGCAGAGAAACAAAAATAGAGTCTAGAACAGAATCCTGAGATCTCCTTTCTGTGCCCTGCCACAAAGTTGTATTTCCCCAGGTTTTTAGACTGCTTTGGATATTCAGGTAGGGTGACATGTTTTGTGTAAATGGAATAAATGATAAAAATTAGCAGTTGGAAGGGTGGGAATGAGTCACTCTCAGTAATGGGAAGCAGTAGGAGTTTCCTTAAAAGCTGTTTAGTAACTTCGATCCACAAGGAAACAAGTGAGGAACATTCTGGGTTCAGGGAAGGCTTGATTGAGAGGGGGAAAATACGATTGGAAAAGGGAATTTCCTAAGTGACCTAGTGAGGTTAAAGCAGTTTGTCCAGCACTTCCTATGATTTGTTATTTTTTGGAAAGTAGAGGAAAGGAATAGACAATGTGTGCATTGTTCTGCAAGAACGTGGAGTTCAGGATCTGCTGTAGAGAGGCAACAGATGCCCTCAGAGGGATCAGTGTGAAAGTCAATTTTTGTCCCATTCCATAATGTAACTGCTGACTGCTACAACTGGTGCAGTAATGGATTTTGAACAGGTCCAGCAAATTTTGGAAATCCAGGTACAGACAGAATTGCCTTGCATTTGCTTTCTCCCCCCCCCCCCCAAAAAAAAAAAAAAAAGGAAATTGAGAGAGGAAAAAGTAGCAAAATGAGGTGATTGAACAAAGGCTTAAGAGGTTCTTTAGAGCAGCAGGAATCAGCCTTCCCTTGGGATGTGGCAGCTTTGTCTGCTGATAGCAGACCCTGGGAATGAACAGCCAAATTGCAGGTCACAACCTGGAATTCCCCAAGCACCTCCAGAATGTCGGCACTAGAATGACTCAAACTCAATAAGAGAGGATGTCAGATTTGACCCCTGATGGCCCAGCGGAATGGGAGCAAACACTTGGATTTAAATCCAATCAATCTTGTCGGTGAGGTGACTGAACACCCCTTGGAGCAAGGGTTGCCCTGAGCACATGGACTTGGGCAAGTAATTGATCCCCTCTGCAAACCAGGTGTCCTGCAGAGAGTTGTGGAAATAAGTTAGAAATGTGAGGAGGAATGTGGCTGCCACTACAAAGTTCTTATCTCTGTAGTACTCACAGTTGTACCATTAGAGATTAGGAGTCCATTACCATGATGTCAAAACACCTCTGAAATTCAAATGTGTGTTATCAACATAACTTGGGGTGACAGAGAGCTGACATTGTCATCAGATGCCAGGTAAGGTGACAGGAAGGACTGATTTGAACACAGATCTGTCAGATCTGGGGTTCTCACCAGCTGTGTCCTCTCAGAATCAGATGTGTTTGTTGGAGATGGGTGTGAGTGAGACCTTAGCCTGAGAGGAGCCATGTTTCTCTCTGCTGTCTTTAACCAGAGATTCCAGCAGGATCCATGAACTCCTTGGATTCTGCACATCTCAGTATGTGGTCTGCAAAGCTGCCCAAATGTGTGATATTACAGAGGGTCTTTGCTATCAGCTCAGTCCTGTGTCGTACCTGGCATGGGACCCTCCTTGAGCAAATATTTTTGAGAGCCTGTGCTTTAATCTATAAGAGGGGAAAGTGCTGCAGTGTTTGTGGCATTAAAGGGTCTGGGCATTTTTTAGAGCTCTTTGCTCTTCAAAGAAATGCCAGTGCAAAGATATTTTAGATTCCCCCTTGCCCTGGAAATGGCTTTCCCTGTTCTCACCAGCCCATGGAGCAATGTGCAGAGCACCTGCAGCTGCCCAACTCTTCATGCTCTTGTACTTTAAAGGAGGTTTGTCCAATGGAGTTTTCTCCCCTGTACCAAAGTCAAATGCAAAACGGTGAAATGAACGTGTGGGAAGCTCTTAACCTTTCCTGTCTAGCCATGACACACTTGCTCACATTATTTATGGGACAGTTCCAGCTATTTTGGATTAATCAATCACTCTATTACAATGTCACAACTATGTCAGGAGGAGCTGTGTTGCTTCTTGGTTTCAAGGTAGAGTCCTTTCTGTCCTGTGTTGCTTGTTCTGCTTTCGGCCACACACGAGACACACCTGCTCATTTTGCCTCCCTTGACTCTTCACTCCTCAGTGGATGCCAGTTTAGTACAAGTTTAGTGCTCTTTTATCATGAATAAAGCAAAGCTCTTGCTAGATTAAATTATGGGGAGTAGGACAAGTAAAGTTTATTCTTCTCTGCCTCATGCTGCTGAAATCACAGATGGCTCCAGGGATTTGCAAGGCACAAGCCACTGACCTGACCTTGTGCTGGTGCTGAGACATTGGACTGCAGCCCTCGAGGTGGCCCTTCCAGTTCCTGTCCTCTCCTCCTGTATCTGTCAGAGCTGTTGGATATCAGAGTGGTTTCTTCTTGCTTTTTCCATAACTCTTTTAGATTCACTGCACCAATTCTACTCAGCCCCCTCAGTATCCAAATTACTGCTCCTAAATTGTGCTTTTGAACAATCCACTGGGGAGCACATTTAGCCACTTCATCTTTTCTATCATCAGACTTCTTCAACCTTGCTCTTTATTCTCAGAAGGGAATTACCCTTTTCTGGCACAGCTTCTCCATGACAGATCCTTCTGCTCTCACCTTTTACCTTCTGTCTTCACTCCTTGACTCTTGGATTTCCCCTTTTTCCTTCTTTGTGAGTTACTGGAGTGTCAGAATTTGTTCTTTTATACTGCTGTTAGTCTGAGCACAGCATTCCTCTGAGCCCTTGAATCACTTCCTATTTTCAAGATGTTCAGTTTGAAGGCCCTATTAGGATATAACCATGCTTGTCTGTAGAGCTTAGTGCACAGCACTTGCAAAATGCATTGCAAGCAAGTTCTGTGTCCAAATCTGAAGTTGTTGCAGAGTTTGGTTTCAGGTGGGTTCAATTCTCTTGTTTACTCAACTTTTTTTTTATTATTATTTGTGTAAATAAACATCAGTCTGGGCAGAGACTGGGTTTAGAGCTAAATTGTAGGCTCACACAAAAATCAGATGTCACTGTGAAATATAAATAAGTCTCTCAGTTATAGCATCAAGAAATGCTGCAGCCATTGTTGCTGTAAACTCAGAATTACAATTTCTATCTTTAAATTCCTTTATTAGGATTTGAAACAATGAAAAAAGGGGCTCTGCTGTTGCTTAGAACCTGCAGTTCACACAAAGCCTCCCTGCCCCTGTGTCCTGTACAGCTCTTGGTGTGGGTCTTTGGGGTGACACCCAGGCACAAAACCATGGTTCATGTGGATATAAAATCCCAACCTGTGTCTATAAATGACTTAGTCCAGAGCACCAGTCTTTCCCTGCCATTGCTGATGGGAATATTTGTCTCTTGTCCCCTGTCCCACAGTTTTATAGTGCTTTTGTGTTGTTTTGAGCACAGAGTTTGTTGCTGCCCTAACTTCTGTTTATTCATCCAGTTTCACCGCAGGGAACTCAGCAGCACTGAGCCTTTTTAAAATCTTCACCATAAATGACTAAAAACTCCCTGCATGCCTCATCCTCTTATTTCTTTTTACTTCTAAGTGTCATCATCATGATTTGTAAAAGTCATTTTGGTGAACACTTAACCACAGTGAAAGTGTCTGTCTGTTTTATTGGGACTGTTACTTCCCTGGGACAGAAATGGTGTTCTCTGCCTGTATGACACCAACTAGAAACTCTGTGCTTAGCCACTGATAATAATTCAGTTCATATTGCAGTAATTTTTCTTCTTTCTTTCCACAGCCCCAGGCTTTCCAAACTTCCTGGTTGGGTTTTGAAAGATGGAAGCACATTTCTGGACAAGGTACTGGAGTGATGGTTGGAATTTTCTTGCCATGCAAAAAAACCACGTGACAGGTTGGGAGCTGGTGCTGCAGGAGCAATGTTCCACGCTGACTCATCCCAAAGGTTTCTCTGTGTACCTTTACCAGCCAGGATGTCCTTGCAGAGCAGAACATTTTGAAACAAAATGCTAATGGCAACTCTCAGGCTTCAGAGGTAGCTTAGATTATAAAAAAATCTGCTTAAAATGCACGAGTTGTCAGTGTGAATATTTTTGTATTTCATGGAGCTCCATAAATAATAGTGCTTCGCCTTCTTAGTGTGTCTTTTATTCCACAGTCTCACTTTTCTGACTCTGAGGCTTCAGAGCATGCCTATAAATGAGGCTGGTTTCCCTTTTTTCAGGCAGAACTAGGAGAAAGGCAATGGTTTGCCTATGGGAGGTCTCTCAGAGAGGAAAAGCATGGCTTTGGCCTCAGAAATCAACATGTGTTCTGCTGCTGGACGTAGCAGGGAGGATATTATCTCCAACCTCCTGATTCTAAGACACAGAACTTCCTCAGCAACATGAGAGACACAGAATTGCTCTTTATTTCCTCCCTCTTTTCATTCCATCAGTTTTGGAGGCAGAATTTATCTGAGGCTTCAACCAAAACTTGGCACTGCAGCAGCCAGCTTGATCTGCCATAGGGGAACAATGAACACAAAAATATGTCAGATGTTAGTAAAATAGGCAGCTACATTTCAAATGTGGGCAGCAATAGGTACCAGTGGAGAAAATGCTTAATACACTGTTCTCTGACTATGGGAACATTAAAGGAAACAGTGATAATAGTTGCTTTTGTAGGGGACTTTGAGGTGGACAAAATGAATTGATCTGATTTTTCCAGACAAGGGAGCTGAAGATCATAGATTAAAGACCCGGTTTTTCTTCTCATTGGAGACAAAAGAAACTGTGCAGGCAGCATTTCTGTTGGTAAAATAGTAACAGCTCTATTCAGAGCACTTGCTAACTGGCAATTGCATGGCTGCAAAGGCTCAGGGACAGAAATGGAGTTGCTCAGTTTGAATTCCCTGGAATTTGTGTCTCCTGAACCCCAGCTTTGGTGTCAGAGCTTTAGGCTCCAGAGAATGGACAGTCACTGTAGTTTTATTTGGAATATATTTAAATTTCTGGGATGCTGCTGCTGCAGTGTGTGCTAAGGAGAAACCTCCAAACTCACACAGTGGCAATGGAAATCGTGTTAAAAATTCAAAGGCAGCATCTCTTAACTTCACCTTGACCACTGTAAGTGCTTGGAATGGTAAATTCTTTGACCCATGCTGGAAAAAGGCAAGGGAAGGAGTCAAAGGGGGATGTTTTATCATGTGGGGTGGACATTCCTGTTACAGCACTCAGTTATAAAACTTCAGTCCTGGAGAGGCATTGAAATGTGCTGTGATCTACTTTTAATCATTTTGAACTCCCTTGAGATGAGGTTAGGAGACTTCTGCCACTAGATGTAATTGCTCATTTGTTATTAGTTGGCAGGTGCACTGTAATTATTAAGAATTGGATTCAATCTTTAATTCTGCCAGTGTGAAGCTGGCTGAGACCACTTGCTTTGGGACAGGAGAGAAGGCAGGGTGGGTGGTAGGGAGCCTGTGAGATGTGCTAGGAGTAAAGTTGGGAATATTTTTGTTCCACCCTGAAGAACATGACTTTCCATGTGACAAAAGTTTTTGATGCCTTGAAAAAGAGGGAGAAAATAGGGGAGAGAGTTGAACAAAAAGTGCCATGTGGAGATTAGATCCCCAAAAATTGTTTCATCAAATACTCTTGAGACAGTGGCTATAAATTGTATTTAGGTTCTAAGACAGAAGAGGTTGGATGTTATTTGGAACCAAAAGTAAATTCCAAACTTGCCTTCCTGGTGGTTACCAGGGCTCTTTCTTTACCTACCAGAGTTCTCTCTCTGTCCTTCCCAAGGAGGATTTCATCCCTTCAGGTACCAAGCAGCCTCATCTGGCATGAAAACAATTTCAGCAGATCTGTCTGCACCAAATTGTTTCTATAAGGGGGAAAAATGTCCTGTAGTAATGGGCTGGAAATCACCTGTGATAAAGAAAATGTCTGAAAAATCCAAAATGTGCTGCCTTGGAGTAACACTGTGTTGTATTTTTGTGTCTCCTCTGTTGGTGTGGTTTTTTTACAGGAGCTGAAGGAGTGCTCTGGCCATGTGTTTGTAGACTCTGTGCCTGAGTTCTGCTTACCTGAGGTGAGTTTGTTCAAAGCCTCACTGAAAAATCTGACTCCATTCAATCACACGGGGGAAACTTGTTTAAATTATTATTATTATTATTATTATTATTATTACTACTACTATTATTATTACTACTACTATTATTATTACAACTACTATTATTATGTTCCTGCTAATTTATTAATACTCAGTAAATAATACTGTTAAAACTGTGTTGTTAAGGTGCCTCCAGGCTCTAGACACTGGAAAAAGGATGGAAAGAGCCCTTTTCAACTGTGATTTTGGGAGACATGGAAGGTCTCCTTGGGCAAATATCTGACACAAGAATAAGACTGAGCTGTCCCTTGTTGTGACCTTTTCAAAGACAACCTGATCTAGATGAGGACAGGGTGTGAAGGCAAGGAAAGCTGCTTGTTTCTAACCACAGATGCAGGACATGCCAGTGGAGCTCCCTGGAGAGCCAGCTGTGGTTAAGCCAGGTTGGATTCTGCTGGGCTGCACTTCTGCCAGCAGCACTTTCAGGTTAAAAACTTTTACAGCTTCTTTGAAAGGAAGAACTGAGCCTTCATATCCACAGGCATGGCTGCAAATGGCTGCTCAAGCTGGTTTTTACTGGAATTTCTGGATTTAGAAAAATCAAGCAAGACTTTGAAGATGTTTGGATTACCTGGAGTCACCTGATGGATCAGGGGAGTGCTGTGGGAGAAATAAAGATGTAGAAAGCTGAGCAGAGAGAGGTGGGGTTGAATGATGGAGAGTAGCAGGGGAGTAGTATCCCTTTCCTCAGTGTGTTCAGAGTGTGATAACATCAGTTCTTTCATTTCCTGGTGGGATATTTTCTCTGTCTTTCATTGCTTTTGGGCAGCAATTTTTTTTCCTTTCTGCCTGACCTTGCAGACAGGAAGCACAAAACACTCCTGGAAGGTTGCTGTCAGCTTGCTGAGGTTCTGGCAATGTTGTTCCCATGTGTGGATCCCATGGAACTCACCTCTGACATCGTTTTTGTCACCTTGATTCTTCCCAACAAATTGGCAACTCTGGTATTGGTTTTGGCAAGTGGTTCCAACAGATTATAACCATTCCAACCCAGCTGGAATTGTCATAATCCAATCACATTAAAAAAAAAAGACCAGCCCAAAACCATAATAATTCTGGGTTCTTGGGAGCCTTTTGGTTACTGTCCTGTGAAACTGAGGGATGGGGGAAGCATCTGTGTGTGCAGCAAGTGCCATTATGGCCCAGATCTTGTTTAGGACAGGGTTTATGTGCTGGATTCTCTTTGGAATGATTATCTACTGGGGTTTAAGGTTCTTTAGACAGAATTTCTCATTACTTTGGGCTGGAAAATAGCCACATGTGTAGCTCTAAATATGACAGGGAGTCACTGCTTCATTTTACTGCAGTTATCACTGCACGAAGCTGCTTCCCAGCAGCCCATCCTACAACAAGAAGATGGCAACCAACTGCACAGCACCATTGCAGGGACTTTAAAAAATGGCCTCTCAGATGATTCCCAAAATTCCCAGCACATGCCACATCTCCTCCATGAGCACTGGGAAGGGATCTGCTGTGATACCCAGCTCACACCTTGAGCTCAGCTGTCTGCAGGAGGTTCAGGAGTCAAGGCCAGCTGCAAACAGAGTGGAAATGTTGCTGCTCTTTGGCAGCACAGGATAAGAGGGAGCTCGTGTGAAAGAAGCTTTTACTTTTTCTCCTTCCATGCCACTTCTTTTGAAGAAACTTGTCTGCAGAAGCAGTTAGCCAGAGAATCTCAGTTCCAGAGCACCATTGCCAAAGCAAGCCAAGATCTGGATCTAATCCAGCAGCCACAAGGTGATAAGAGGCTGTCTCTGCAGCAGAGTATTCTCACACATGTCAGAGTGCAGGGTGCAGCCCTCTCTTTGCTTGGCAACCTTCTACTCTCTCACTTCACATGCAAGAAACATTTTTAAGCTTCTTCAGCTCAAAGGCACTTTAGTGAGATCGCTACAAGCCCCAGGGAAGATTTCACTTTGTTTTGATTTTGACACCCTTTTCATCCTATCAGTAAATGCTTCTAGGGTACTGAGATGTGGCTTGCTTAAGGTTGGAAAGTGCTGGTGTGTATCCTCCTGATGGCTCTCCTGGGCTGGGAGTCAGCTCAGGGCTGGAGCCCCTCTGCTCTGGAGCCAGGCTGGGAGAGCTGGGGGTGTTCACCTGGAGAAGAGAAGGCTCCAGGGAGAGCTCAGAGCCCCTTGCAGAGCCTAAAGGGGCTCCAGGAGAGCTGGAGAGGGACTGGGGACAAGGGATGGAGGGACAGGACACAGGGAATGGCTTCCCACTGCCAGAGGGCAGGGATGGATGGGATATTGGGAAGGAATTCCTGGATGTGAGGGTGGTGAGGCCCTGGCACAGGGTGCCCAGAGAAACTGTGAGTGTCCCTGCATCCCTGGAAATGTCCAAGGCCAGGTTGGATGGGGCTTGGAGCAAACTGGGATAGTGGGAGATGTCCCCGTGTGGAACAAGTTGGTCTTTAAGAGCCTTTCCACCCAAACCAGTTCAGGATTTGATCCTGTACAGTCTGGACCCAGCTGCAAACCAAGGCATGGACAATCCAAGCTTTGGCAGGAGCAGCATCAGCAGATCCTTTGATACCTTGCAGGGAGAGTGCTGCTCCTGCTGGAGCCCAGGAAGATGAAAGGTGCCCTATCATGGAGCTGAGGATGTTGTTTCACCTCCTGCTCTCAGCTCGGAGATCGTTGCTCCAACATCAGCTGTGATCATGGATTGAAACCACGAGTGCTTAGGAGGAGTTAAGCAGCTTGTCACCAGAGCAGTGTGTCAGCCCTCTGCAAAGCAGAGTGACCTACTTTCTCGCCTTTTTTATTCAAATTGCTGGACCAAGCCTTGTAATCAGATAATATGTGCTTGATGAGTGTTGAATTCCATTAGCTGCTCTATAATAACTGAGTAAGAGGTCAGTAATCTTGTAAATTTCTGACTTGACACCATTTGTGTTACAGCATTACCAGTAAATATTTCTAATTAAAATTCTTTTAACAATGTGTGAAATCTTCTTTCACTCTCAGAACTCTTGTCTAAACTGTCACATCAAAATGAATTGGGCCCACCCATCGATTTTATTGTATCCTGTGAATGGGGTTCATCTCCTGCTGTAGAAAATGTGAATGATAAAAATGCCAAACATTTACTTTGGGAAAATATAAGAATTATTTTTAAGCATATGAATAAATACAATCTTCCTTCATCTCTTTCTTGGGGTACAGTATGATGTGCTGCATAAAAAAAAATACGAGACACCCTAAATCACTGCTGCAAAAGTTTTGGTGTCTCTTCCTCCCTAAGGAGGTGCACACATCAGTTCTTTGATAAAAGTAAAATAATCATGCATCTCATAAAAGCAGCCATCTCATCACCTGAAAGACAGAAAAACCCAGGGCATGGTTTCCTTCCCAGGTTGGAGAATGGAATAATTTTAGGGGGATTTTAAATATCTTGTTAATTTAAAGGCAACATTAATCTTTGCCACAGCTGAGACATGCTTTTATAAAGCAGTTATATTTCTGCAATAAAGTTTTTAAAAAAGAAGTTTTTCTGTCATTTGTTAAACTGCATGAAAGGGTTACAAGTTGCTTATCTCTCTGCTCTGTTTTAGACTGAACTGCTTGACCTCTCCACAGTGGATGTAATCTTGATCTCCAACTATCACTGCATGATGGCCCTGCCCTACATCACAGAGTACACAGGATTCACTGGAACAGTTTATGCCACTGAGCCCACCGTTCAAATTGGCAGGTAAAAAGCCCCTTCATATTCTCTGCTCCCCTTTCATCACTGCTGAGGAGAAGGTGTAAAGGACAATGTGGGGAGAGGAGTGGTGTCTAATGTTCCAAAGAGGCTTTCAGGCAGGAGCTGAATGCCAGCCAAGTCCTTAGTGCTGCAAATGTGTTAACTCCATGTTTCCCAACCTCTGGAACCATCAACGTTTCCAGCAGGTGCTTTGTGTTGAGTCCAGGCCATAGATGTGGGACAGTGGAATTTGAGTGGGCTGAGACACCTCAGTAATTGCCACATAGGCAACTTCCTTCAAAAACCACGGATCAAAGAGTTCTCCTGCTCTTCTCTGTTCCCCTTAACCAAAAGGAGTCTTCCCAGTCAGAAAACTGGACTTGTTCCCCACAGAAGCTGTGGCTGCCCCATCACTGGCAGCGTTCAAGGCCAGGCTGGAGGGGATAGTGCCTCCAGCTATCCAGCTGGGATCGTGGAATGTGTCCCTGCCCATAGCAGGGAGTGGAACTAAATGATCCTCAAGGTCCCTTGCAACCCAAACCATTCTAGGATTTTATGATTCCGTATAATCACACTTCCCTCCAATCCATGGAAAGGAATTCCAGCTGACTTCATCTCAAATGACAGCTGAGCTCTGAACTCCAGAGAGAAGCTCTAAGAAAAATGGCAGAAATAGGAGACTGAAGTAGAAAGACATGACAGTGCAGTCAAAACCACAATAGTCATCAAACTTGCCAATCTATTTTTACGAAATTGTCTTGTTGATTGGATGGTTCAACACCAAATTCTGCAGGTTTGGTGAGGCCTAACTGGAACTGAGATCTGTTCCTCTCTCCTGCAGACCTGCCACGTTCAGTAATTAGGAGCCAGATCAGGCCCTCCTATCTGGACTACTCTGTTAGCACTTTGGGGCAGGAATCTTTGTCCACTGAAGGTCCTGTGCAAACTTCCCACGCCAGAGTAATTCCTCCATTGTGTGAAAACAAACAGAAACTGAAGGCCTTGTAGGTGGAAGGAATTGTGTAAATATGAACGAGTAGTACACCTCAGGGCTTTGCTGGTGCAGAGCTGGAGAGAACAAGCACACTCTGGTGGGAGAGTGAACTGGTGTGGTTCTCCCCATCCCGAGTCATTCCAGATGCTGTCCTTCTGCTCCAAACTTCAAGGGAAAGCCTGCACACAATTACAACTGCTGTTTAGTTTTGGGAAATCTGCAGTGACAATTTTCAATGCTTTTCCTGTCTCAAATACGCATTGGCAGATGAGGAGAGTTCACTCTGACAGCATGCTTGGTTTCCCTCAGTGATAAACAGACATAAGCTGAGGAGTTTTTGTTGTGTGTTTTGTCTCATTACATATCACAAGCAGTCAGTAATGAAGAAATTATCTTGCATTTTCCAATAGCCCATAACCCAGTGGGCCAGATCCACCTCTGTTGCAAGCAGATGGAATTGGAAACACTCTGTGGAGAAACAGGGGCAGTGCTGGAAATGGCCTCTGTGGGAAGAGCCCCACAATTTCTATGGTATTTTGGAAAGATTTGGGCCAAAGTTCTCTGCTGTATGAGAGGAGGCAGTGCTAATTTAGGTTTGATTTGTGTTTTCAGGCTCCTCATGGAAGAGCTGGTGAATTCCATTGAACGCGTGCCAAAGGCTCAGTCTGCCTCCATGTGGAAGAACAAGGAGGTGCAAAGGTAAGGAGGAAGTCCCAGGAAAGGGGATTGTCCCAAAGCACCAAAGTTTGGGAGTCTCTGTGAGGATGGCTCAGCTCCCACCATTTGGGATTTGCTCCTCTGACTCCTTGGGTGGATTATTTCTTTAATCATTTTTGTACGTTGTGGGTTTTGCAACCTCACAAATTTGTTTCTTGGAGAAAGACTTGGTAACAGCAAAGCCTCACCTGATCTCTCCTCACACAGTTCAGCTCCATGATGGTAGCAAAAACCAGCAGATTTTGGTATTAACATCATAAAAAGTTATCGAGATGACCAGGTTATTTAAATTTAATGATACTGCGTTGGAATAATTTAAATTTAAATGCTATTTACATTCATGTTTGCTGTCATACTAAGAAAGTCAAGACACAGCTGGTGGAGGTCGTTGGTGTTACCTTTCTTCCCCTCTTCTTTTACACCTGAACAACAGAGGTGGGCTTTTTGGCTTTCCAAAGCTTAAAAGGAAATTAAAATCCGAATAAAGAAGGTTATTTGGAAGCACCATTTCCATTTTTCCAGCTATACATCAAAACAAGATGCTCAGGGTTTTGAAAGCCTATGGAATCTAAAAATTATCCATACAGTTTACTAATTGCAGCTGATGCTTTCCTTGGGAATAAAAACAATTTTAGGTGCACAAGATGTTCCTTGGAGGAGACAGTTTTGGTTTTAGCACATTTTAAAGATAGGGTTGGTTGATTAAAAAGTTATTTTTAAAAGCTGCTTTGTGCATTTTTAATTGATCTCCCATTTTATACTCCTAATTCTTAAGATGGCTTGATTTAGAAGTTTCCTAAAAGTGAATTATTTCTTACATTAGAAGAGTAGTCTTGATATTTTCCAATATCACAAAGCAAAAATTAAAAATCCAAATTACCCTGGTTTTAGTTGTATTTTGTGTTTCCCTGCTGAATTTAGGAGCAGTCTTTACACTCTAACTCTCATTCTTCTGAAGAAGACAAGCAGATGTAAATCAAAACTAAATACACTTAAGTTCAGCAGGATTTCCAGAACAGTGGTGGTTTTTTTTTAAATATTGGGGTCCACTGGCCTGCCCACATCCACTGCTGAAGCTCCCAGTGTGTGGAGAGAGAGAACTGGAGCCATTATTCCTGTCACACCAGGCATGTTTTGTATGCATGGCTCAAAGGAGAATCGTATATCTTGCAGCTCATATAATGTCACTTTCCTGGTGGTCGTATTTTAGCAAAAGTGCTGCCTGGCACTTTGCATGCTGCTGATTATTCCAGAGGAGAACACAGAGAGGGAATCTTTGTTCTGATTCAGTCTTCTTGTGCTGTAGAAGACTGGAGCCTGTTTTTTCCTTGAAGTAGTATTTAAAATACATGTTCCTCTCTCCTATTGCTGGGGATGTCCCCCAAAATTCATAGTTGCATCCTGTAGTTGTTGTAAAGGGGTAGCAGGGAGGTGAGAGCTACTAAAGAGCTGTTTAATAGCATAAATTGGTGTATAATAAACTCTGCTGATATGAACTAATGTTGAATTTGAGCTGGAACAAGGGGACAAATGTGAACTCCCTCTCCACCTCTGCCCCACCTGTGGCCTCAGCTTCCCCCTTCACCTCCCTGTGCATCTGTAAAACAGAGCTCCCATCCAGCACAGAGGGCACACGGGGACTTTAATTAATGTTTGCAAAGTGTTTTGAGATGCCTGGTGACAAGTGTCACGCAGGCGTGAATGGAGCTGATTATTAGAGCAAAACATCCACTGATCCCCAAATTAGCACCTGGCTAATGGCACATGCAGGCTTGGACTGACATCCGTTACTTAAGAAAATGTGATCTTGATGAATTGGGGTTTTTTTTTTTTTCTTACTTGACTGTTGCTAGAACAGAATACTTATTACTTCTGAGTCTAACTTTAATTTTTCAGGCTGATCAATCCCCATTACTGCTTTACAGTTCAGCTAGTTCTACTCCAAACAGTTAGTATAAAACACAAAGTATTATCATCTTCATTAGATAAAGCACTGGAGCATTTTAAATGCAAATACTGTATAAAATATAATAAGTTCATTATAGTGGTTTACATTTTTCCATTATCAGATCCAGTCTGAACTAATTGCTTAGCCAGTTTTATTGGGTTTTATTTCAAGTGAGCAGTCTCGTGGAAGTTCAGCAGATGTCAGCCAGGATATCTTTCACACTGATTGGGATTCAGGGGCTAAAGAGGAAGTTTGCCTTATGAAAAGCACTTTGTTGACTTCTTGTTTGATGGTTTCCTGTATCATTTAAAGTGTTTGAAACAGGCTGTTTCCCGAGGCTGAGCAAGGCACAAGAGAGGCCATGGCCTGATGTAGTTTGGTGCTGCCATCCTCCTCTCCCTTCAAACAATTCTGGGATTTTCTGTCATACATTAAATGTCACCCTTTGCATTGAGCAGGAGGGACTGTCTCTGTGCAGACCCCAGGGAAAAATACAAATCCCTGAGATTTTTAAGTGTGCATTTTGTATCCTCAACCGTGGGGATTCATGGTACCTCCCTGTTTGTGGCTGTCCCAGCAGCTGCCCTCATATGTCTGGTTGTTTTGAGATGTTGCCATGGTGGCAGTAGATTTACTCCAGACCACAAAATTTCCTCTGGTAACTCTGTAGGGAATTTAGAAGTGAGATGACAGACTGAATGCTGACAGGGGCACATCTGAGGCACCAGCACCTCGTTGCCACTCAGCTTCATGAAACCACTGGAGACTGATGCCACTGGTCTCTGCCAGGGATCAGAGTATTTTCAGTGTAGCCACAGTCAAGGCCAAGAGAAACTTCCTTCAGTCACCAAGGACAATTCCCCACTTTCTCCATTACCTGGAGAAACATTTTCCTCTTCCCAGAAGTGAAGTTCCTGAAAGCATCCAACACTAAATGCTTCTTATGGTAGGTTAAAGGCTTTTACAGGCAATTTGCTTCAGTGCAGTGGTGGACAACTCTCCACATTGTGTGGCCTTTTGTTGCTTATGACTTCCCAAAAAAGACCTTGAAGGCTTTGTTTGTTTCCTGAAGCACAGGGTGCTTTCAGCCAGCTCATGCTGGAATTACAGTTATCGTTCTGGACCTGTGCTGTGGTCTTGGCAAGAGCTGCCCTTAATCCTTTCTTCAGTATCTTAAATTATGGAGGAGTTCACTGACCTAGTAGATATAACAATAAATTAAATTCCTTTAAACAAATTGATCAAGGAAACTTGACCAATTTCCATAAATCTTTGGAAATTGGTTTGAATTAGCCTTTGATTTAGCATTGGTTTAATATACAAAAAAAAAATCCTATTCTTCTTATGCATTTGGCAGCTGTGCTGCTTCCTGCCTCAGTTCATGTTGCTAAGGAAGATTTATTTCCCAGAAGTTAGCCATCCCTCTTCCAGCCTGTGACATTATAGTTCACTTCTTCCCTTGACAACACCAGCCAGCTGACTTGCAGTGTCTGCGAGGAGCAGAATGGATGGATCTCACTTTGGTGTAAAACATCTTAAATACTTCCGTGGAGGGGATTTCAAAGAGCTCTGCAGTGTCAGCTCGTGTCTCCCTGCCAGGGCACTCAGAATGGAAGTGGGATTGAAGGCAGGGAAGCTGAGCTGCAGGGACACATGCTCTTGGAAGAGACCAGTGGCAGGAATCAGGGCAGAGCCATCCCTGCTCGTGTTCTGGTAACTGTACTTGAATCACCAGATTGCTTCAGATTATTAGGGTATTATTCAGATTATTGTGATATGAAAAATAGACACTGATCCAAGATCCCAGTGCTGGAGGTGCATTTCATGTTGACATCTCAGATCAGCCACCTTTCATCAGTGGTGAAAATACTCCAAGAGTTGTGATAACACCTTGATCACAGCTACTTCTTTGATGCAAGGGACAGAACAGCAACAAAGAGAGCTGGAGGAGAGCAATCCTCAGGGTGAGGAAGACTGGGAAGTGTGGCTCTGCTCCTCAGCAGTCTTGCTCCTCACTTTGAAGCACCGGGCACGCTGAAAATAAAAATTTAAAATGGTAAAATCAAAGATGAGGAGAATGTAAATGGTTGTAGAAGCTGGCCCAGCACCAGCTGTCGTTCTGGATTCCCCACAGAACATCCTGCTGGTGTTCACAGGTTGCTGCCAGCCCCGCTGAAGGATGCAGTGGAGGTGTCCATGTGGAGGAAGTGCTACACAATGCCAGAGGTGAATGCAGCCCTCAGCAAGATCCAGCTGGTGGGCTATTCCCAGAAAATCGTGAGTACCTGCACAGCTGCCCTCAGGGCAACAGCAACGATCATTCCCCACCTTTTTCCCCCCTCTAAATCCTACATTGGATCCAGTTACCCTGGCCTAGGCAAGCAAGACAGGATTACACAGACTGCCCCTCAGTCTCCCTCCCAGGAGGAGCTCTTGTTTGGTGAAATCAGGGAATATCCATTTGTTTCTTCTCTTCCTTGGGGAGGCCAATTTTAAGGCAGCATGCCCTCAAATTTGGAGCTGATGGCTGGCCCACTGAGATCTGGGAGGATGCAGGGAGTGAATGTATCCTCTCTGTCTCGAAGCCACATCCCCTTCCCAGCTCCCCATCTCACTTCTGGGAATCTTTTGAGTGCTTTAGCCTCCACTTCGTTTCATACTGTAAATTAGGAATTGTAAATAAAACCTAATGGTTCAATGTGAACTTCAGAAACTCCTTTCCCAGGGCTCCTAGATAATAGTTATTGTCTGTAATGCTGTTGACTATAATCCAGTGTAGTTTCCAGAATGAACTGAACCAACAATTCCATAGTCTGCAGATCCCATATGGATTGTAGGCAGCATGTGGGTCATGATCCCTGCACTTGTTTGGGCTGTGATACCTGGTTTTGCTGCTCAGAGGCCATAAAAAAATAAAAATATGGGTTAAAGTATGTTGTGACTCCTTTTTATCCATGGATTGCTACAGTTCATTTTTGACTGTCCTCACAGTGTGGATGCATCTCCCCTAATTTTAGATCTCTGCATCTGAGCCAATCATTCTTTTATAGTTACTGGGGTAAAAAAAAAATATTTTTTCTCTTCCCAAAGCTAATTTTCAAATAATCAAACTTTGGAGCCTTGGTTTACACACTCTGAGGGATGAAGATCCCCTGCCTTGCTTTTCAAGGCATCCAAATATGTATTGAAATACTAGGAAAATCATTAGTATTGCATGAATCAGATGCTTGTTCTATTATTCAGTAACCAGAAGGTGGATCACATTAGGAAGGTCTGTACATGAAGGTTTATTTTCCTTTCTCCAAACAAGTGTTCAACATTCCTGGGTACAGATGAAGGAATACAATTCCTTATGACACCTAGAAAGGAGGCAACTGTCAGGTTGCTTACACTGAAACTAAAATGTGGATTGAGTTTGCAGGGTGTTGTTGCTAAATCACCAGCAGGTAACATTTTAAAAGAAATAAAATTAGAAAGTGAGTGAGTTTGAGGTTAAGTTTGTTTTCCTCAGTAAAATTTGCAAGCCAAGCAGGGTTTGATATCAATATAGAAATACTTGTCCTTCCTTCTCTCCTGCTGGCCAATACCAATTTAATTTGACTAAAGGAGAATAGAGTCTTCAAAGATGCAAAGCTCCCACAAACTTCTTCAGTACAGCAGAGGATCAAGAGGATCAAGGTTGATTCCTTCATTTTGAGACATTGTTCAGTGTGAATTCAGATGCCATAAAACTCACATGGAAGAAAGACTTTATAGAGGCCCTGCCTCAGGAAAAGCTTTTTTCAGAGCATGTGTCCTGCTAGACATGGGTGGGTAAAACCAGCAGATGTAATTCTCAGCAGAACTGCTTTTAAAATTCCTATCAGTGATGATAAAATGACCTGTCCTGATTTCTTTTGGGGCTCTCTGAAGTTAATGTCTCTCACTGTGTGTTTCAGGAGCTGTTTGGTGCTGTGCAGGTCACCCCTCTGAGCTCGGGCTATGCTCTTGGGAGTTCCAACTGGATTATCCAGTCACACTATGAAAAGGTTTCTTATGTTTCAGGATCTTCTCTGCTTACAACACACCCTCAGGTACAGCCTCTGACTTTTCCTAGTCTTTAGGAGGAACTTTTGCTCAAAAAAAAATGGGATGCTCCAGCTGGGATCAGGTTTAGGATAGAGGCTACTCTAAGGTAACTGTTATCAGTGCCTGGACTTAATGGGCATTGATAAGATACACCCTGACAAATGACAGGTATCAATAGTCATGAGGAAAAGATAACTAAATTTCTTTGTTTTAGTGATTTTATGTTCACTTAAAACTGTGGAATTGTCTTTCACTCTAAAGAGGAAATTTTCAACAGTTAAACAAAAGAGCATTAGTGACTTTTCTAAAAAAAATCCATATTTGACTGAAGAATCTTCACAGACAGCTCACAGACTGCTTTATATCACTTCTGAAACATCCTTCCTTAGGAGGAATGATAGCTCAGTGGCTGCCAACTTTTCCACCCTGCTCTGCTAAGGGCAAAGTCTTTATAGTGCTGTAGATGTAATTTCCAGTAAATTAATTCTCTCTAGATCCATAAATTCTTAGTGCAAAGAAAGGCTTGAAGTTTGCAGTGCCGTGCTCTTCAGAAGTTGTCAGAATAGTTAAAAGCATTATTGCAGGAGGTATTTAAAAATAATTTAGAAGGTGTGTTAGGTTTTTGATCAGCAAGTGATTTCCCCCAAGGTGGGTATCTGCTGGAGAGCTTTGCTTCTGAGCATCCCTCACTTAAAAGCTTGTTCTCAGTTGAGAAACTACAGTAGATAAATGATCCTTAATAGTAGGGCCATCCTTAGGTGCACAAAATGTATCAGAGCCTCTAAATCCCTGTTTCTCATCAGCCTCCTTCCATCCTGGGCTGTGCTCTCACCCCCTCCTAGAGAAGGAGCAGCAGGATTTGACAACATGTGAATAGAAGGTTTCTGTGAGGAGAAACTTTGCCCTGTACCAAGTAATTTGGTAACTGAGAATGTTTTCTCCTCACTGCCATGAAATGTGATTCAGTTTATCAGGTCAGACTGGCCAGGCTTCATCATTTTCCAAAGGTGAACATTTCTCTGGAAGCTTCTGGTAAAATCTGTTTTTAAGGAAATTAAGTCCCAGTGGCAGAGAATGGTTCATGGGCACATCTTTAGAAGGATAGTTAAAATCACATTCAGTTTGTATTTCCCTTGTTATTTACTAGATTATAGTTGTTACCCCATATAATCATTGTCTTGCATTTGCTTCCAGATGCTTTCTGAAGACAATGGATAGCTTTTGTCCTGGGGTTAATCCCTGTGAGCACCAGCACAGGCTGCTACAATCTGGTGTTTCTGTATGTGGATTCTGGGAGCTTCCAACCAGCTTCTCTTTGATGTTTGACAGACAATATGTAATGATAACAGTATCTCAAGTGGCACAGAGCAACAAATCATTTCTTCCTCAGGGAGTGAAAAACTGTTTGTCTGTCCTGGTTCTCCATAGGATCATGATGAGAAGTTCATAATGAAATTCCATTGTATTTTAGCAGGGTGTGTGAAAACAGTCACTGCATTTTGTTTTAAAAAAGGATATACTTTGAACATATCCAGAGCTGCTTTTCCAGTGAATTGGGATTTTAGCCTGGCACCATTGACTGTTCCCTGTTCTTCTGGCAGATGGTTTCCATTGAAATTTTGCCTCCCCCTCTCCTGAGGCTGGAATTGACAGTGTTGCCACTGAAGTGGAGAACAGGAGTTGACAGCACAGGTTCAGACATGTCACTAAAAGCCTTTTAAGACATATTCTTTACATTAACCTACAAAAATCAATGCAGGCCCTCTCAGTGCAATGGCATCTGAAATTATGTGGATCTAATATGCCATAATCATTATGTACATTATCACAGGCAGATTCCATATTATTTTTTATTGCATTATTGGCATTTCATTTTCATGGACACACTGGAGAGAGTCAAAGATTGTGATAAATCTCACGTGTCAGGTCTGATCCTACAAGAGGGTGCACATACCAACTCCTGTCAGAGTTGATATGAAATTCCCCTGTGTGTTTAACAGAGCAGGGTCCTTCTCAACTGCTTCAGAGTGGAGAGCTGTGAGCAGGGGAATTGACCTTACAGTGGTCCTGGAGGTTCAGCAGAGGAAATCTCTTCATCTGTCTCTTCTGGCAGAAATCTTTCCTGGTTGGTGAAACTGCAGAGAGTTGTTTATTGAGAGTAAACAGCCATAAAATACCACACAGCTGCCAGGAGTTGCCCACTTTTGCTTAATCAGTAGCTGTGGGAAGGGCATCCCAACACAGAGTGAGGCTCAAAGTTACCTTTTCACCATCTGCAGAGAGAAAATTGGATTTTACCTTATCAAGATTGGATCATGCTACATTTTCAGTATCAAGAATATGTATTTAGTGTCACACTCATGCCTAAATTCTGAATATCTGCTTTCTGTTTGCTAATGCACAAAAATGGGCTTGCATTTTCATTCTGCTTTAATAAAATAGCAGTATAAAACAAGTTAGGTTCCCACAGATGGAGCAGTGTGAGGTGTAAAATGATTGTATCTATTATGTCCTGCCTGGAGAAACTCTCCCATTCCTGATTTTATTTCCCTGTGCTCTGTTGCAGCCCATGGACCAGGCTTCTCTTAAAAACAGCGACGTTCTCATCCTGACAGGACTGACCCAGATCCCCACTGCCAACCCTGATGGAATGGTGGGAGAGTTCTGCAGCAACCTGGGTGGGTCACTGAGAGAAATCTCCTGCCTTTTTTATCATCTTATTCATGGCTTTGGGTGGGAAATAATTCTGAGATTCCTGGAATTGAATAAGTTGTCCAGCTATAGCTCCTGGCATAAAATTACCTGTTTAGATTTTACGATGTGCTCCTGATGTCATTAATGCAGTAAGTGCTTGGAGAGACACAAGTTGTACCTAAAATGTTTTGGAATGGAACAGGTATAATGAGATTTAATCATTTGCTGCTCCTGGTTTGCTAAGTATGTCACTTGGCTGCCAACAGGCTACGTGGATATTGTTCCCAGCTGAAATATTACTATTTCCTTCCTGTGTATCAGCCAGAGTAAAATCTTTACATGCTTTTTTATGACTTTCAGTTTTGAAAACAAGCACATCTGCTTCCCTTCTTACACCTGACTTTTAAATATATCAAAAGCAAACAGCACAATCTCTGTTTAAAAAAAAAAAAAAAAAAAGTCAAGATATATTTATAGACCCCCAGAAATATAAAACCTAATCAGACGCTTTCACAGCTGGAAAAGAAAAGAAAAGAAAAGAAAAGAAAAACTTAAGTAGGGTTAATATAAATATTTAACAAAGTTATAAACCAATCTCTGTTAAAAAAAAAAAAAAAAAAGTCAAGATATATTTATAGACCCCCAGAAATATAAAACCTAATCAGACGCTTTCACAGCTGGAAAAGCTGATAATTGCAAAGCTGTGATATCAGTGTGAATGGCAGCATTTTCCAGCCTGTTTGGAATGTCACATCCAGTGCTGTTCTCTCCTTTTCTCCCCTTCCCCCTGCTCAGTTCCTCTGTGCTCTCATCCTTTCATCAAACCACTTTTCCTTGTCTGTCCTGCTCTATGTTGTCTGTTCTTTCATCAGAATTTTCCCTTTATTTTAAATTCTCTACATTTTACAAATAGAATTTAAAAGCTCATGATAGGAGGATCCTTAAAAAGATCACCAAAGACATGACAAGACTAAATCAGACTAAATTCCTGCTCTGGTGGAATGGGACCCTGCCCATGGCACAGGGTTGGAACTGGATGATCCCTAAGTTCCCTTCCAACCCAACCCACTCAATGATCCTAAATGTCTGTTAATAGAGCACATTTTGGTATTTTATAAGAATGATGATCATGGATTTTACTGAAGATCCTATCTGTCAGCATCCTGGCTCCAACAGGGACTGTGTGCAGATGCCTGAAGAAAAGTAGGGTGAGATTTTGGGATATTTTCTTCTCATGATCTTTAAGTATTTTTATTTTAGCAATTTCCTGAACTGGATGTGATTGTGTAGTTAATGATGACCAGTGGTTTTGTTCAACCTCTCCTCGAAGCTGTGTTGAACACCTGTGACTTCCTTTCCTAAATGTGTGTTTTTACATGTGTGGGTATCTCATCTGCATTTTCATTGGTTTTAAACACTGTGAGTTTTATTACCCTGCCACACATCAGCTCTGGTGACCTTGTTTTGGTAAATCCAGATGTGCTGCCCTTCTCTGTCCCTCCTGGACCTTCATGGGGGTCACTGTCCCCTTGACAGACAGTGACACAATCCCCTCCTATCACACTGAGTAAACAAGAGTGAGACTGTTAATTAAAATGCATTTACAAATTAAAGTCTTAGAGCTGTAGTTGGGCCAAAGCAGAATCCAAGAGTTGACTGTATATAAATAAACATGTTACATGTGTCAGTGCAGGTGGCTGTCTGCACAACTTGTTCTGGTTTACAGAAATATTCTGAACTATTTTCAGGAGTTTGCAGGTCCTCAAGCCAGTTTCTGTCTTGAGACAAACTTAGAGAAATTAGAAAATCATTACAGACCAAAGGAAGATACATGCTTAAAACAATGCCATTGTAATAATCTGGAATTTGAGTGGTGTTTGCCAAAAATCAGCAATCTGGAGAAATGAAATAATTCTATATTAATGCAGTTTAGGGCTGTCTTTTACATGACACCAGCTTTATTTATCTACCCAACTTCAGAAAAACAGAGAATCAGTTTTCTTTCAAATATCTTAAAAAGTCCAAAAGCAATGGGTTACTGGGAAAAACAATTGAGTAAGCAGGCTGAGCAGAGTAGCTTTTTCATCTGTGTTTTCTCACTTCCAAAATGTGCAAGGGAGTGCACACAGAATACTCAAGGTAAAGTCTCTAAAGCAGACCAAAATTCACCAAAAGTGTGTATGAGGATATAGCAGCATGCTTGTGAAGGAGGGGGGGGTGAAGCACAGAAATGGAAGTGTGAAAATTCCACCTTCATCTCTGTTTTCATCCCAGCATGTGGAGCTACAGCCCTAATTCCCAGGATTCCCATGGCACACACGATTTCCTCCCCACACTGTCCCACCTCCAGCTTCCTCTCAGTTTACCCCAAGCCCCTTTTTTCCCTGCTCAGCTCTGCAGCAGCAGCACTCTGCAGCTCAAGGAGAGCAGTTTTATTTCCACATTGCCTTGGGCACCAGCAGCAAAGCTGCCAGTCTGTCTGTGGGGACAGTTGGTGATATTTTGTGTGAGTGTGAGGCTGTGTGTGTTTATAGAGAGCAGAAAAGAGCACAGTTTGCTTTTTAGGTGCCAACTCGACCTTGTGGCAGCAGCTGTTGGGGAAGCAAGGATCTCTTTGTGAGTTGTAAATTGAACAACTTGTTATGGAGCTGCTGAAGGAGACTAAATTTGAAATGCCAAGATTATTATACAACTTTTATCAGGAGAGAGCATCCATCAGTCACCAAGATAAATTGGGCTTTAAACAACTTTCAGATAGATGTATCCTCTTACTGACAACTCTGAAAAGTTGTTGTAGTGCTGCAGAGAGCCAGGCTGGACCTGCTGCTTGTGTGGAAAGCAATATTTTTGGAAAGGTTTTCACCCCTGCTTTGCAGAAACTGGGTGGTGATTCTTATCCCTTTGTGGATCCCTGGCCTGGTGGGCACCTGGCTGGAATAATTCTCCACTGCCTGGATTGTGATTTTATATCCATTATTGCTCACCAGCTCTGCTGGGGACACAAACTCAAGCTGAGATCTCCTCCAAGACTTTACCCTCTGTTATTTCCTGTGACCCCAGCAATCTTGAACCTGTGCTTGTTTTCAGCAGAAAAAGCTTGAGGTTTCTGGGGAGCCACTGGCTGTGGGGAAGGGAGAGCTGGGAATTCAGGCTGTATTGGGTATGGCATGGCCAGGTTTCAGTAGTGTGGGGCTATAGGGGTGGTTTCTGGTGTTTCCAGAAGTTTCCCCCATCCCATCTGGCTCCAGGATGGACCCACTGCTGGCCAAGCCCATCAGAGGTGGCAGCACTTCAGGGATAACAGAGTGAAGAAGGGGAAGGAAGTTACTGTGCAGGAGTAATTGCAGCCAGGGGAGAGGAGGGTGAGGATAAGTGAGGAACAGCCCTGCAGACCCCCAGGGCAGTGAGGAAGAAGAGGCAGGAGCTGCTCCAGGAGCCAAAGCTGAGATTCCCGGCCCAGCAGGGAGAGGCAGCTCTGTCCCTGCAGCCCATGAGGACCCAGAGGGGAGCAGAAATCCACCTGGAGACCCCACACTGGAGCAGGGGGATGCCTGGAGGAGGCTGTGACCCCATGGGAAGCCTACACTGGAGCAGGGTCCTGGCCAGGCCTGTACCCTGTGGAGAGAAGTGCAATAAATTAAACTGGTTTCCACAGGTCAAGTCCATTTTGTCCATGATGGTAATTACTCATTGATCTCTCCCTGGTTTTATCTCTTCCCCACAAGCTTTTTGTTACTTTTTCTCCCCTGCCCAGCTGAGGGATAGAGCAACTTTGGTGGGCTCCCAGCCTCCAGCCAGGGTCAAAGCACCACAAAGGAATGGAACTGACATATTTTTGTGGCCTCACACATTCTTTAACCTCTGTTCTGCATCCCATCCCTGGCCTGTGCACCATTCCTGCTGCAGTGGTTTGTAGGTATTTTCCTTTCCTCTGCAGAATTTTTGGATGTGTGATGTCTCAGTGTCTCAGGTCCTGGAGCCAGAGCCTGAACTTCCACCTCCAGATGGCTTTGAAAATGTTGTTCTTAACCTCCTCATTGCTCTCTTCACATCCTGTTTACAGCTGGGATCGTTTAGATTTGCCCATGTGAGGGGAATAATGTCACACATTGCTGGGATGTTTGGGAACATCTCGAGTTCTGGACTAATGTGAGCTATTGCTGTTCATCTCCACAAATATTTGGATGGTATAGTTTGTATATGGCCTGGAGAAATAAATCCACTACCCTGCAGTTGTATTAAAAATTATAAACAAGGGGACTTTGATCAGCAGTTGTTGATAACACCGTGTCAGAGGCACTGACTGCTCCAAGGAGTAAAATAACCACAAATGCATGTGAAAAATCCTACTAGGCTCTGCATCTCCCTGAACTCCATAGAACTTAAACATCCAGCCAGAAAAATCTTCCTTGAGGAAGATTCTGTCCCATCAGAGGCAGAAACCCTTGAAGTGCTAAATCCATACCCCAACAAAGCTCAGCAAGAAATTGAAGTCAAGGAAGTGGTTTTGCAGGGTATGCAATATTTGTTGTGGAATACTTGGTGCATGATGTTACTGCTGCTGGACTGCAGTTAACAGCAGTGGATGGTTCTACCCCACAGCCACAGGTGAAATTGCTCACTGAGCTGAACAAAGTATTTCTCCTTTCCCAGAAGGTGCAGTGTTTTTGTAATTCATTCTGCCAAAAGAACACAATTACAGAGTCTCAGTTACAGAATAAACCTATATTTCCTTTTTCTTCTGCTCATTTTTATTTAGTCTCGTGCTATCTGCAAGTTTTAAATTGTTCTTGGTATACAGAAAGAACAGAAATATGTAAAGTTTTTAAAGAGGACAAACATTCCATCACCCATTTCTGCCTCTGAGGGCTGTTTGAATTAACCACACTGAATTCTGCTTTCACCTGAAATCCAAGCACTGAACAGCTCACCATGTGCAGTGCTTTTGGCTGAGACCTGGGAGCTGTTGTCCTTCCCCTCTGGAGGCAGCTGAGAGATGGATTTATTTTGGGTTTATTTTGATGGTGAGGTGGTTTGTGTCACTCCTTTATCCTCCTGTGCCAGTGCACGGCTGCCCTCTCCTGTCAGGAGTTTTCCATGTGCTCAGGCTGTCATGTGCCCCCAGCTCAAGGAGTAGAAATGCTCTACTGAGCCTGGAGAAAGCAGGAAATAAATGTGTTTAATGATCAGAGGTTTTCTTCCTAACCATAATGTGTTGTGCTAATTCATGCAAAAGCTGCTTTTTCTATAGTATTTGGATGAAAGGAATTGATTAAAAGTTGAATTTCTCTCTGTGTGTCTCCCTTAGCAATGACTGTCCGGAATGGAGGCAATGTCCTGGTTCCCTGTTACCCCTCTGGAGTGATCTACGACCTGCTGGAGTGTCTCTATCAGTACATTGACTCTGCAGGACTCTCCAATGTCCCCTTTTATTTCATCTCACCTGTTGCCAACAGCTCCCTGGAGTTCTCTCAGATCTTTGCTGAGTGGTAGGTATGCCAGGGCAGCCCCAACTGCACCCTCAGCTGTGGGGAGAGGCAGGTGCAGGTTATCTCTACCTGACAGATTCTAAAATACACCTGGTTAGGATTGTGAACACGTTCCTGGAGTCACCAGGGGGCTGTGTGTGTGTGTGTAAGAACATATTCTGTAATTAGGGAAGGATCATTTCCTATAGAATGTGCAAACTCAATCTCTGCTTTTTGGTGCTTACCTTAATGAGTAAATTATGTTCCTGACTTGAGTGAGTTTTAGCCGTGCCTGTTTGCAAGTCTTAGCTCCTCAAATTCTACCATGATGTCCCTGGCTAAGCAAAATAAAGAGTTTTCAGGCTTAATTTTGCTGAGCCATGGCAAGAAAAACCAAAAGTGTCCTGAGCTGCATGAGGCAGAGCAGAGCCAGCAGGTCAGGAGAGGAGATGCTGCTCTGCTCAGCACTGCTGAGGCCACATGGACAGTGTTTTGTGCAGTTCTGATCCCCCAGTAGGATGAGGGATTTCTGGAATGAGGCTGGGACTCTCCAGCCTGGGGAGCAGAAGGCTCAGAGGGATTTTATTTTATCATTGTTTAGAAACACCTGATAGGAAGTCATGAGGATAAAGGCTCAGTTTCTTCAGCAGGGGCAACTGGCAGAACAAATTAAAACATGTGAAATTCCATCAGGGCAGTGGATTTAAACTGCCAGAGGGCAGGGTTGGATGGGATATTGAGAAGAAATTCTTCCATATGAGGATGGTGAGGTTCTGGCACAGGTTGCCCAGAGAAGCTGTGACTTGGAAGTGTCCAAGGCCAGGTTGGACAGGGCTGGAAGTAATTTGGGAGGGTGGAAGGTCCCTGTCCATGGCAGGGGGTTGGAACTGGCTGATCTTTCAGGTCACTTCCAACCCAAACCATTCCATAATTCTGGATTTGTGAAACACTGCAGAGACTTTGCTATGGAGACATAAAAATCCAACTGGACACAGTCCTGGATGATCTGCTCAGCTGAGAGTGCTTGAGCAGGGCTTGAACTTGGTGATCCCAGGAGGTCCCTCCCAACCTCAACCATTCTGTGATTCTGAACCCTAGAAAGGAGAATCCAACCAATTGGAACTCTTCCCAAATTCTTACTAATGGAGGCATGCTCTAGAATATTAAATACAATAAGGCAGCTCTTCTCTTCTTCCTCTCCAGATTTTGGAGTTCAGGAAAGAAAAGACAGGCCCTGGAAATCTTGTGGGAATTGATCCCTCAGGAGGATTGAAATCTGGTGGATTTACATGGAAATGGAGGCAAAGGTTGAACATCTGTAAAACAGAGGTTTGGGGTCAGAGTGTGGTTGATATTCAGGGATTCCAGCCTTTAATTCTACCCTTTACACAAATGGAAATGTCTTGCTCTTAGTATCCCGTAGACTTTATCAAAATTGGTTTGACCCAGGCTCATTTCTTTTAAATAAAACATTAAGGATGAGCCAGGCAGTGTTTTCCAGAAAAGCCACCAAGACAGTGTCACTGCAGATCATTGTAACGTCACCCAGATCTCTGACAAACAGCTTTTTTTAGCTGCTTTAATAGGATGAATCAGGAGTCTGGGTAGAGCTCATCAACAGCTCTCAATATCTGTTTTAAAGAGAAGTGATTGATGGAAAATGTCAGGTCACAGTGAGCCTTGGGCCCTGGGAGAAGCAGTTTACCAACATTGAACTGCAATAATTAAATGCACGGGGGAATTAGATTAGAAAGAGCAAAAGCACCAAGTCACTGCTGAGAAGTGGGATGAGGCAAGTGGGATTTTTCTGTTGACAGATGATTTGACTTTGCAAAAGCTGCTGGGATCTGGATGAGGAACCATTGTGGATGCTGAGTTATAGATTTGTCTTGAGCAGCAGAGGAGCTCTGTTCCAGTGTGTACAGAATTACCTTCAGCTGCCCTGCACCTTCTCTGTGTCATCCTGCTGTGACTGAGGTGTTGTGTCCTGCAGGTGTGGGTCCTCCAACCACAGACTGGCAGCAACAGGACAAATCGGTGATTTTGCACCTCAGAACCAAACCGGTTTTCTCCCAAAGTGTAACAGTAGATGGCAGCAGATGCTGCAGGATGTGCTGCACCTCTAACTCTGGCTGATTTCCTTTTCTTTTAAAGGTTGTGTCATAACAAACAAACAAAGGTGTATCTTCCAGAACCTCCTTTTCCCCACGCTGAGGTGAGTCTTGTTCACTTTCTGGATAACAGTCCACACAATGTAGCTGTCGTTTTTCTGATGAACCCTTCTACAGCTATTTAAGTTTTGTTGAATTTTTCATAAAAGTGTTGTTTTCCTTTGCTTTCTGTGATGAATTTGGGAGCGTGGGGGAGGAATGAGTGATGGTGTTCCCTAAACTCCAAAATTACCCTGTTTATTCCAGCCTGTCACTTGCACAGGCTGGCCTGGTTCACTCCTTCCCCCACAGAATGAGATCTGGTGTGGGATATTTGCTCTTACCAACTGCAACCACCAGCATTCCCTTTGTCCAAGCAGTTTATTTCCAAGTCTGTGAAACTAAGAGCTTATTATCAGAGACAGCTTAGTCATGCCAGCTCCTTCCTCCCTCCCTGAATCAGGCACCATGTCTGCTGCAGGAGGAATGGTATCTTGAAATGGAGATTTTTATATCAAAATTTAAAGTTTGCAGCACTGAGTGCTGTCTGTGGCAATTTTAAATGAAATTACTTGAGCATTGTAATGAAGCAAAAAGGAATGAGGCATCTAAATCTGGAGGATTTCCCTACAACAAAATAATAATTTGAGGAGAAGCTTTAGCCAAGCAGACATTAAATATAACTGATGCCTTCAGAGTTACCTCACGTATCAGGAGAGGAAATTCTCCCCTGGGTAGTTTTCCCACTGAAGTAAACAAGAGGCAGGCTGGGAAAGGAGGAAACAGGACTGAGAATTTAACTGAATCCTGCTCCTGTGAGCCACTGAGCCATTTGGGACATTCAGAAACCTGCCTCTTTTAGCTGCTGTGGTCCAGACTGTTTGATGAGATGTGCAGAGGGGCCATGGCAGGTTTAAGAGCCCAGAAATTCAATGCTTTTACAGACACTGGGTGGTTTTTTTTTTTTCCTCTGAGATATCTCATCCAGGGACTTGTTCTAGAAATTGCCATTCCCCATCATATCTATCATCTGTAGGTGCTTCAAAGGCGTTGTTGGAAGTAGGATCTGTCCAGGAGCCCTCACTCTTTCCAGATGCTTGAATGTGTTTTGAGCAGGATGTGCAGTGAATTATGTATAATCTGTTACCAAGAATAATGTGGACTGCAGGGCAAGCCACCTGTTCACCACTTATTTCATAACCAAAAAATTCATTCCCACTGATAAATCAATTCCAAATTCTCTCAGTACAAGGCTCTGCAGCCTTGCTGCTGGCTGTGCTGTCTGTCTTGCCCTCCATCCTTGCTTTCTGGGGTGTCCTTGTTGATGCACAGTGTCATTGGATTCACTGACAGCCCATATTCTGCTATACAATATCCACTAGAACTGGCAGATTTAAGTGAAAACCCATCCAAAAAAAATGAGAAACCAAACATGCAGCTGTCAAAGACTGGATTAATTAACCCATCTTACATGATGGGTCTTTGTGTTTATAGAGTGATAACTCTGTCCTCTAATTCCTGAGACGTTTTATGTTCTCTGGGGGCCTGTTGATTGTGAGATTTTGCCAAATTATTGGAAGAGCTTTGCAAAGAGCTGCTCTGTGCTTCATGTGTAGATCAGGGTAGTTATGCAGGAAAGGCCTCCCAGCAGTGGATCCCAGCTCAGCTTCCCTGCACAGAGGGAGGAATGTGCCTATTCCAGGTGCAGGATGAAACATCCCATGGGATGTCCCTGCCTCGGGTCCCTTGTTAAAGCTCCAAAAATCTCACACCAGACACTGTGTTTCATTCACACAGTGTGAAACATCCCTAGAAACTCTTCCCAGCACAATCCTGGGCCTCCACACCCCTCTCCAGGCAGGAGCTTTCCTTACTGGCACTTCAGGGGATTTTTAATGAGTATCAGAAGCAGACAGTGAATGATGGTTTCTATCGGAGAGGTTGTTAGTGGAGAATTGCTTGGCTTTTTTCAAAGTAATGCTAGGCTTGTGCAATGTAACCTGTGCTGAAATTGCCCATCATGAAAAGATGTGCTTAACTGCTCAGTTGTTGGAGGAAAATAGGGAATTACTCAGACATGCCTCTTACTTCTTAGGAAGCATTAATAACATGCCTGGCATGATACATCAGAGAGGGACAGGCCAGGAAATAAGCTTCTAATTATCCACAGAACAAGCCCAGCCCAGCATGCTGCTGGTCCTGAAATTTGATGTTCCTGTTAGTTGTATAAACAGCAAGATTTAAAAACAAAGAAGGCAAAAAAATCCCCCAAATCCTCGATGTTGTCCCTTGTAGCAATGAGATCCTGATGTGTGGTAAAACAGAATAATTCCTTCCTTTAATCAGCTGTGATTGTATTTGGCATTTCACTTAACTATGCCTTTATTATTGTCACAAGAAGGTAAATATAAACATCTTCATTGTTTCTACAATTACTATTTTTATTTCCCCTCACTCTCTGCACTCAGTTGTTTGAAGGTTTTGCATTCTCTCTGCATGGAAATTTTTTGTTTTATGATTTCTTTTGAGTGTTTTGAACTCATTCCTTGATCTGCTCTGCTGACTAAAAGCAGCTCTACAGAGAACCTAAAACATTTCTCCCTCCTTGTTTAACTCCACTTTAATGGAGCAGTAGATGTTCATCTTATCTCCTCCTACACAGTCCTGGTAGTTCTTGTGGTGGCAGTCTGAGTGAACAGGGAATACTTTCCCTCTGTTAGGAACAAGGGATGTGAGCTGAAGTGCTTCAGGTTTGTAGGAATGGATTTGAACATCAGTTCCTGCTAAAGTTAATAAAAATGGAGTGGCCAGGTTCTTGTTGAAGTCTCTCCTGCAGCCTTTTAGTGGTGCACTCACTAAAAGAGCTTCTTTTTAAAAGTGTTTCTGAGGGAAGAGTTGCTCTGACTGCAAAGCCTAAAACTGGAGATCCCAAATATTTGTCAACACAGGCTGGCAAGGCAGGGGGTGGCTTTCACTTCCAAGGCCCTGTAGCCATTTTATATCCAAGGATCAACTGTCTAAATAGGCTCAGATTAAAGCTCCACAATGCCTTGCTGAAATACTGTGGAGCATAAACCAGTCATTTGTTTAGCTTAGATTTGTTATTCTGGTATCCCAGAACCAATGTGTGGTGTCTTAGCAAATTCCATATGGGAATATTCCATCCCAGCACATCCCCACATGAGGAATTAGGGGTCTCCTTGATCATTTTCAAAGGATCCTTGGATCCTTGGGACTCTGCCCCATCCCTTTTGTGGAGGTGGAGGTTTTATGTTTATAAAGGAATGGCTCAATTGTTGGAGCTGAATTGTTCCTCTCTGTTCACTCTTTACAATTTCAAGCTCAAAGATAAGTGAATCCAGACTTCTCTAAATGTCTGCAACAATAAAATTTGAGAGGTAATTTGTATTGATCAGTATTTGTCAGTGGAGGGAGGATTTGGATTTACTGTGCTCTTATTAAGGATTCTGTTAGCAAGATCCAAGAGGAACGGCTGCAAAAACCCTTTTTTCTGACTCAAAAAAGAGCCAGAGTGGGAGTAATATTGATTTTGTGGTCTTAAATACCACTATTTGTCTTCTTCATCCTTGATTCCCTCCTGCATTTACCAGTTCCTGCATAACACATTTAAATAAATACCTGGAATCAGGTGATTGTGGAGTATTATGGTTTGTTTTATAGAATTGTGTTATAAATATTATCATAAAGGAGTTGAGCTCATTGATCCCTTCCAACTCTGGATATTCTATGATAAAATTAGGCCCCTGTTAGTGTTGATCTGACGAAGGGAGTGAGGGAGGTGAAGCAAGAAATGCATTTCTCATTCCCTGATAGGAGCCACATCTGTTCCAAATTCTGGATACAGAGCACACACACACACACACACACACACACACACACACAGAGTAAATATCAGTGTATTTTGGCTCACTTCAACAAAGGGTACACAAAGGCTCTGGAGATTTATCCTGTTTATAGCAGCAGTTGCTGACCCTGTAAATCAAGTGTACAGCTTTAAAGGGAAGCACAGAACCATTTGGGAGTTCAGAAAAATGCAGCTCTCACTCTTGATTCAGTACTTTACCAGCCCCTATCTCTTAAGCTTTCAGTCAATAGTGGTTGTTGCTGTAAAAAGATGCTCAGAACGTTGCTTGTGCTTTCCAGAAACCAGACCCCACTGTGGAAATATTGGCTGGCTCACTGCCAGGCATTGGGGTTTGGTGTCCAGGCTGGAGGTCTGACCATGGCACAGCAAAGGTTTACACACCCCATCTCATCTGGAGCTACAGAAATCCTGCACAAATCATTACAAACTCAGTCCCCTTAATAAGTTAGGAAATTTTGTTGGACCTGTTTTGCAAGTTCAGCTCCATATATTTTTGATGGGGTGATTAGAAGAGACTTTACTGTAGACACTAAAATCCACCAGCTGCTTTCTCACTGGAGTGAGTAGAATGTCTCTAAATTTGTTTTTGTAGCCTTTCACCCCTGCTCTGTCCACCTGTGAGAGTCAGGGATTGTGAGCTGAGCTCTGAAGCATCACCAGACTTATCAGAAAAGATCTGGCAAGATAAAAAGAAAAGATGAAAAAAGAATCATCACCAACGAGCTCCTGCAAACTGGATTAGAGCTCCTGTGTCTTTTTACAAAGCAATAGGAGGGGATTTGAAGCTTCCATAATGCTTTGAAGAAAATACAGCTTTTATGTTGCTGAGCAGTGAATGTTTGTGGAGGTATGGCAGGGAAATGAGCTGTTCACTTTCCACATCCAGTGCTGCTCTCAAATCTTCCCAAAGATCTGAATGCTCCATACAAATAAATGTTATTTGATAGAACCTGTGAAAGAAGATGCTGGAACAACAGTTTGTGGTTTTCAGGGGTGTCTTAGATCAATGCTGGCTGTAGAAATGTCTTTCCTTGACCTCTCTGCCTTCCTTAGAAAAGCTTTCCCCTGGAATGTCACATATCCCACTTAATGTTTGAAATAGAAATCATCCTCCTCTTCCAGTTTACCCAGTTGAAACTGCTCCTGCAATTTCAATTTTGAGACTTTTGGCTTCCCTCAAAAAAAAACCAGACCAAAACAAAACACAAACAGAAAAAAGCTTTTTGAGGCCATTTCCTACAAGTTCATTTAAATGTCAGTATTTTATGGATTCAAATTTGTTTTACCCATTGTCTGCTAAGCTGCAGTTTTTATTACTGAAGCTAAGTTTAGATTCTAAACCCTGCACTCCAGATGTGTTAATCAGAAATCTTTACCAGTATAATTGCAGGAATGTTTTTGAGATTCAGTGCCTATCAACTGCCAGAGCAGTTATTGGGTGTTTTGATCCAATTTCCCTCTTGAAGATTAAATAGGAATTAGCTATTACTTGTAAACTGCAGAAAATTTAGTCCAATTTCTACTTCTTCCATGATTCAAGGGTCCAGATGGAAATGATCCATGTGCATCTACAGAACTGTACAATAACCTTGAATTCTGAGGTGCTTTGTGGTGCACAAGTTGCTGAGAATTCTCAGTTTCTCTTCATTTCCATGCAGGCACTTTAGATCAGCCATGGTAAAAATTAACACAGGACAAGGGGAAATGGCCTTAAACTGAAGAGGAGAAGGTTTAGATGAGATATTAAGGGAGAAAATCTTCCCTAAGAGGGTGGGGAGGCCCTGGCACAGATTCCCAGAGATGCTGTGGCTGCCCCTGGATCCCTGGAAGTGTCCAAGGCCAGGCTGGATGGGACTTGGATCACCCTGGGATAGTGGGAGGTGTCCCTGCCCATGGCAGGGGGTGGAACTGGATGAGCTTTAGGGTTCCTTTCCAACCCAAACCATTCCAGAATTCTATCATTTGTTGGACAGCCCAACCTGCTTTTAAAACTGGTTGACAAAGGAAGCCCCCTTCCCTCCCTCACACTCTTTATCTCTGTGGTTTTTCTCTCAGCTGTTCAGTCTGTGATTCCATGTGTTAAATTCTTTGCTTTTTAAACTGTATTTACAGTTATTTTCATGCTGGAGATGGAAGCATATACCTGCCAAAGGAAAACTTGCAAAATTTTGCATGAAAGTGCTTCACAGCCTGCTTATTAAATTGCTTTTTAAGTTGCACCTTGTTTTGCAGATTAGAAAACAGTAGCAGGAAGAAATAAAGCAAAACTCTTTGAAAAGTGCCTTGATAAATAAACTTCTCCATCTTAGTAAAGAAATCTGTTCCACCTGCAGATCTTATTGCTCTTAGTTCATGTTTATTGCTGGTTTCAGAGATAGTTAGAGGAAAGGAAAGTCAATCTGTTCTTTTTCAGCAGGTTTGACTTTGTGTGAACCCTTTAGACCAGGGAAGCTCAGCAGCATTCTGCTGAAGGCAAAAGTGCCTGGTACTGCTGTGATGCAAGAAAAGCAGGTTAAACATGAGCCCAGAGCTCTTTGCAGACATGGCAAATAGGAAAAAGGAGCTTATTGTGAATTTGGCAGCTGAGCACTCTGCTCACTCCAGGGAGCTCCAAGCAGGGAGTGTTTGCAGAGTTTCCTCTCAGTCACCATCCTGCTGGTACCAAAGAAGTGAGAGCAAGGACTTGGAGGCCCCATGCTCTCTGACTTCCTTTTCATAACATTTATGACAGTCATGACTAAATTTGTTGGAAAAATCTGAGGGGTATACAGACTCTCTGATGAGTTAGGAATAAATTGTAGAGCATTTATAATGTCATGTAAATAAACACGCTCAAGCACACAGGCATGAAAAGTTGCACTGTCTGGATTTTTGTTTTTCTTTCAGCTCATTCAGACAAACAAATTGAAACATTATCCCAGCATCCATGGAGACTTCAGCAATGACTTCAAGCAGCCCTGTGTTGTGTTCACTGGGCATCCCTCTCTCAGATTTGGGGATGTGGTGCATTTCATGGAGCTGTGGGGAAAATCCAGCTTGAACACTGTTATATTCACAGGTAAGTAAAATGCTGATACCATTATCAAATTAACAGTTTGTGCACTCTGCTTAAATGTGGCCACATCCCTGGGGCTTTAGTCATTTGTTCTGGGACAGAAGTTTTTGACTTCAGTAGGAGCTTATCTAAATTAAGGCCCCGGGACTGGCTGCAGGGACAAATGTAATTATTGTGCCATTTAATTCAGTGTAGCCCTGCAGAGCCAACCTTTGCCATGCAGAGTCCATTCCTGCCACGTCTGAGCAAAATCTTTGTTATGCACAGCAGTAAAAAGCCTACAGGAAATTAATTTTTGAATTAAAAGCAGCTGGCTGCAAGTTAAACCCAGGCAAGACCTAATGGATGCTGGTCAGAAAGGAGAAAACTTTTCCATTTTCCAGTGGAACCACAAACCTTTCCTCATCCCTTCTGCCTTTTCATCTTTCAGTGTTTCTAAAGAGGTTTCTGTCCTCTCTGCTGTCCCAGAAGTTGCACCTCACACAGACCTGGCCCAGGGCTCTGAGCTGGTCCTGCCTTTGGGCTGAGCTTTGTTCAGATGCTTTTTGGCTGGCAGACACATTTGTAGCTGAAGGTACAGCTCTGGCTCGTTCCCCACTGGAGCTGTTTCCTTTCTCAGTGCTCAACAGATCTTTTAAGTCCCTCCACTTCTCTCCATCTGCTTCTAGTGCTGACCCTGATTAAAAAATCCTTCAAGGCCTTCCCTGGAGCTGAGGCTCTGTGCAGGTGTGTTTGTACCTGATGTGTCACCCAGACAGAGCCCTGCAGTGGGCATTGCCCTGATCTGGGAAGGTAAAAAATAATCCTTTAGGTCCTTACTCCTGATTTTGTGTCTAAGGTGCTCTGGGATACTGAGAGGTGTGTTCTCTATGACTTAGCCAGGTAAAAAAGGTGTGGATTTTTGGGCAAAGTAATTAGAACTGGGGAAGAGAGCCTTGAGGAACAAATCAAGTCTACTCCCACAGCAAGGGTGGGATGGAGTCCCAGTGTTAATTTTATTTTCCTCCAGTTTTTAGTGAATAGGAAAGCTGCTGGAAAGCACAAAACCTGAAGAAAAGAGGGCTGGGAAAGGATTATTTCCTTCTTCTTTCTTTTTTTAACTGTAGACTCAAGGCCAGTGACAAGCAAGTCCCTTTGACTCTTTCACGATATTGGCACCAAAAAGTGTGACAGTGTCATGATACTGTTAAGGCAATTTGGGGATATTTAGAATGTATAATTAACCCTATTCAGTGAGGGGGGAGATATGAGGGGGTTCCTGCAGGGAACTTAAATCCAGACTATTTTTGTGCTGGAAAATGGTGCAATGTAGCACTAAAGGTAGAGCTGCTGCAGTGCCCATCCCTCCTGACCTTTGAGGCAGTTCAGGAGACATGCCCTAATTACAGTAATTGGATAAAATTGCAATGTGGATATGCATTGTCTTGGAATTAGTGAATTGTACTCCAGTGAAGACTTCAATGAAGGCAGAGTTTGCAGAGCCTTTGCTGGGGTGTGTATTCCATGAATCCCCGGGGAGCCAGTGGCATTAATCACGTTGTGAATGTGCTGCCCAGGGTGTCAGGAATTGGCTTTTCATGGCAGGAACTCTTCCTCTTCTGGAAGGAGAGGCAATTGACCTTTCTGTGTGAGATCCTAATCCTTCAGTGAACTGAGGCAATCGAGCACTTCTGTCAAAGCCTGGCCCTGGCAGGTTGTAAAGGAATTAAAATGTCACTCCTGCCAACCTGGGGGTGCAGCAGGTCACAGTCTTGGAGATTCATTCCCAATTTGTACTTAGTGAAACTCCAGTTGGAAGCTGCTTTAGTTGGGTGACTTTTGAGTGCACGGTGATTCCAGATGCTTGTGTTTTTTTGGGTTTTTTTTTCCTAAATTCGTGTTTTTTGTTTCTCTCGGTGGGCACATCCACTGGGCAGGATGGTGCTACTGCCTTATGGCTGTTTAGTCCTAAGCCTATTTCCTTATGGTTGTCTCAGCTGGAACTAACACAGGGTTTAGTGCTGGTTTGGCAGTTGGACTTGATGACCTTAGAGGTTTTTTTCCAGCCTAAATGATTCTATGTCTATAGAAATTCCTAACAGATTAAATTCTCCTTTTCTTTTCCAGTGAAAATCTGAAGCATCTCCACTGATGCCACTGATTTCCATTATTTAATTACTTTTCTGTTTCAAGCTAAAATCTCCTGTAGATATGAAAGAGCCCCAGTCCATTGGAGCAGTGTGTGAGAGCAGATGATGTTGTAGCTTTTCCTGTGAAAAAATCCTGGTTTCTTTTAATTAGAACCTTTAAACTCCAGACCATCCTACATTGTTAATGAACACTGCTTGTTTAGTCCATAGGAACCAGTCAGTCTCCACATTTCCAATCTATAATGTAAAAAACAATGACAAGAATATAAATTCAAGCAGCCAGGACCTGGCTGTGAAGGAACTGTGGTGCTGCTTTGTTGCTGGTGTCACCTGCAGACATCACTGCTGGAGCACTATTGAGGAGATTATTGATTAAAAATATCGAATACCACTAAGCCACAAAGAAATTCTAGGAGAAGACACGGTATAAAGAAGTCTCCTTTAAAAACCAGCTCCCTGGGAGATGTAAAAACAGCTCATGCACGTCAGTGCTGTACAGTGGAAGGTTTTATAAGTCAGTGTCACACAGCAGTAAATCAGGAGTCTTGGGGGGAAAGCAAAAGACCTGTAATTCTGTCAGGAAAAGTCAATATGTGTCCTTGACAAGCACTTGCTGCCCTCAGACAGGTGACTTTGGGATTTTGGATTCCCTGTGTTCTGTTTTTAATATTCTAAATCTCCAAGTCCCATGTTAAGATCCCTCCACTAGAATTTCTCCCTTTTCCAAGGCTCTCCTGTCCTAATTAGGAGTTCAGAGAGGCTTTGGGCTGGATTTAATATGGGATTCCTCCATGTCTGTGCATTCTCTGAACCTGTTGATTCAGAAATGCTGAATAGGTGCTGCCTCAAATCTCTGTGTCCTCCACAACTCCAGCTGGGATGGAAAACCTCCCTTCTGGTAACTTTTTAAATTTCATTTTTACAATTTCACGGCACATCTCTAGCAGAGAACCTCTGCCTGACTTAAGCTTTCTTTTTTCCCCTAATGACTTTTTAAATGTTTTGTCATTTAACCCTAACTGATCACTGATCATTCTTCAACTACCAACTTTCTCAGTATTCCTATTTTTACATTTTTATTTATTGTTATTAAACCTAACTCACATAAAATGCCATTTTTACATCGATATTTTTAGGCTTTGTTTCATTGCCACCACCACATCTGCTTTTAACGTGGCTTTTTGCCCAGAGTAATTTTTATTTCATGTTTGTGGATTTATGTGCACATCCTTGTACAACACTCATTTTTTGTTAATATTTCTCTCTTTAACGTTCCCAGGCAGCTACTCTTACAATTGCTTTAAACTTGGGGAAATTATCCTTTTGGCAGTTCCAAACATTTGTATCATTGCCTGGTGCCATGTTCTGTTCTCTCAGGGTAAATATCCCCACATTGTGCTCAGTGGTGCTTAGCCAGCAGCAGATTTTGAGATTTTGAGATTTTTAGGTGAGCTATTAACTTGTCTTTTTGTTGAATGTCACACTGGTGCTGAACTTCCTCTGGTAATGTTTGAAGGAGATTTTTTTTCTTGCTGTCTGCTTGAGAAATCCAACCAGTGCTCTGCTCTGCTGCCATGTCAGAACATCCAAGATGGATTTTTTAAATCTAGACTGGAGACTTTGAATTTCAGTTTCCTTTAAGTTCATCCTTTCACAGCCTCAGCAGGTCCCAGAGAATTCCTCCTGCTGTGCTCCAGACAGGTTTGAACTGCACTTCACTCTGCCTGATGTCATTTGAGGCCCTGTGGTTCAGGATAATCCAGCAGATGAGATTTTCATGCATCCCTTTCTCTTTTCCCATTTTTTACTTATCAAACTAATACCAGTTCTTTTTTCTCCAGCATTCCCTTTGTCCCATCTATCCCACAATTGTCAGGGAGACAGGGATGGCATAATCTTTTCCATACCATTAGTTGGTGACCCCCAGAATCAAGAGGTTACCTGTATCCTACACTGTGTCACCTGAGATCTACATTTGTCATTCACCAGAAAAATAATGGGTTTTTTTCTGTAGTATTTTCAGTGTTTTATTACTCTCTGTGGGAGTAAAAGCCCATTCAGTGTCTGACTTTTCCCTGGCAAACCTCTAATCCAGTAATAAAAGAGCCTTTGGTTTCCCACCAGTCTAAACCTGGCTCTTAGATACAAAAGAATAAATTGATATATATTTATATATCAAGATACCATCTTTATGCTGCATTTTTGTCATAGTGAAAACCAACTTGTCATTTGGATTACCTTACAAGACTCAAAATGTCTACATTTTGCCTTCCTTTACAGGATCTGATTAAAAGTAAGAGATGATGTTTTTGTCTTGATTAAATTTGTTCTAAAAATCATGCAATAATGTGTTCAAATGAAATAGTATTGCTGTGTTGCTTGATTAAGATAAGATTAATTGTGGGCGTAATTTTCATCAAATTAATTGAAAATAATGGGTGAGGGGAGGAGGAAGGGAAGAGAAATCTGTAACAGAATTAACATTGAGCAACAGCTCTGAGTAAACTGGAATTAGAGAGGAATTGGGCAGTTTTTGTTGTTTAATGAGCTTTAAATGTTTTCACCATTTCTCTTTCCAGAACCTGATTTCTCTTACCTGGATGCCTTGGCTCCCTATCAGCCCTTGGCAATGAAATGTGTTTACTGTCCCATTGACACAAGACTCAACTTTATTCAAGTGTCTAAATTACTCAAAGAAGTCCAGGTAATGAATTTTCTCTTGGCTTTTCTTGTGTTTCTTCACACAGCTGAAATTAAATGAATGAATTGTGAGCAAATGTTGCATTAAACAGAAATGGAGACAACACCCAGATCTTTTCCCATGAAGAGGACCCAGTATTGAGCTCTGCTTTAGGAGAGGTCTAAGAAAAAGAAAGTTCTTGTAGTATCTACTGTTCTCCCTTGATTCTTTGGGGTTTTAGTGGCCCATCCCATTTGTTTTTATTAAAATTTGCTCTCTGACTCATGACATAATTAAAATAATAACCAGATTTTTTTTCTGGCTGAGTTTTTCTCTTCTATCTTGCTGAACTCTGAAATACACATTTTTCCAAACCTCTTAGCAATGCCTGCATCACTTTATCTCATTGTTCTGCAGCCTGGCTTGTCACTGCAAACTGATAGTGATGCCCTGGGTTTTAGCTTTTATATTTTTCAGAATCTCTGCTACTTAGTGTGTAACTCTGAAATGTCATATCAGGTGTTAGTAAGGTCTCTTGACAGGGTAGTCAGACAAAACAATCCCTTCCTAGCTAGAAAATCAAGGACAACTGGTACCCAAAAAGCAGAAACAACAGGGAAGGAAAAGGGGCAGGCCAGGGGGGCTGAGACTTCATAGCCTGGGGCTGTGCTTGGATAATTGACCCCAATGTGTGGGTGAACCAAAACTTATCAAAGTGTAAAAACTCACGACTGGGATCCATCTTGGATTTGATTTGGGTGTAGCCCTGCCAGGCTCTTGCACTGCCCAAAGTGTGTCCTTTCAGTAAATTCCTATTTTATTCCTTTTGCCCTGTCTAGTCTCTATTCCAGGTCAGCCTTTTCAGGCAACAAAAGAACTGCCACTTCCTGGCTTTGGATAAATATTTCCTTCCATGTTACTGATGTGTTGTGCTGTCTTCAGGGCAGCTTGCAGAACCACTGGTTTCTTCTTTGGCTTTCTTAAACCCTGCAGTGGCAACCAGCGTGTTTATGCTTTGTTAACACATAGCTGGAAAATTGGAGGTGGAAAACTCCAGGAGTTGTTTTTGCAGCCTTGATTATTGACAGCCAAGATTTCTGCAGCTTCACATGTTGACACTTGAGATGGTCTCCACCACTGTTGCCATTTCCTTCCAGTTTATCTGACAAAGATTTGGGAGAAAAAGCTATGTAATATTTTTATTTTTTTCCTCTTCTTGCGACAAATATCAAAGTGCCGATTAAAGCCATAAATTCCTGGCGGGTCACCTCTCTGCATTCAACTCCTACTCCTGGAGCAGTTGATTGAGGTTCTGATGAGAATCCCACAATGTTTGTTTGTTTTTTTTTTTTTACAGCCCCTGCACGTGGTGTGCCCTGAGCAGTACACGCAGCCCCCTCCCACGCAGTCGCACCGCACAGACCTGATGATTGACTGCCAGCCCCCGGCCATGTCGTACCACCGCGCCGAGGTGCTCACGCTGCCCTACAAGCGCCGCTACGAGAAGATCGAGATCATGCCCGATGTGAGTGCAGGGCGCAGGGTGGGGCTCCTGCTCACGCAGTCAAATTCCAGCCCTGCTGCCTCTGGGAAGTCATGGAATTATAAAGTTGTTGTGGTTGGAGAAGGTCTGTAAGGTCATGGGGTTGTGCTGGTGGCCGGTGCCATGCCGCTGTGGTTGGCATCAAGTGTCGCTTCCAGGGGTGGGGACTCCTCCACATCCCTTTCAGTGAAGGAGTTGTTCCAAATATCCAACCTAAACCTCCTCTGGTGCTGCTCAAGGCTGTTTCCTCTGTCCCTGTTCTCGGGGAGCTCAACCCCCCTCCACCCCGGCTGTCCCCTCCTGTCAGGGAGTTGTGCAGAGCCACAAGGTCCCCCCGAGCCTTCTTTTCTCCAGGCTGAGCCCCTTCCCCAGCTCCCTCAGCCTCTCCTGGTGCTCCAGTCCCTTTCCCAGCTCCCTCAGCCACTCCTGATGCTCCAGTCCCTTCCCCAGCTCCCTCAGCCTCTCCTGGTGCTCCAGCCCCTTCCCCAGCTCTGTTCCCTTCCCTGGACACCATCCAGCCCCTCAATGTCCTTCTTGTCAGGGGGGACCCAGAACTGCCCTCAGGACTGGAGGTGCAGCCTCAGAACTAAAGGTATTTGTCCTAATTATGTCTTATGGCTGGGATTTACAGTTGATCTCACCATGTAAAGCACATTCTGTCAACTAGACAAGCATTTTGAGTGATAATTTCACTCTATAAACTAATGGGAACTGAAAAAACAACCATTGGCTGTCTGAGAGAGCTGTTCAGCCTGGATAAGAGACCATAGAGCCCCTTCCAGTGCCTGAAGGGGCTCCAGGACCTAAAGGGGCTCCAGGAGAGCTGGAGAGGGACTTGGGATAAGGGATGGAGGGACAGGACAGAGGGAATGGTTCCCACTGGGAAAGGGGAGATTAGGGTGGGAACTTGGGAAGGAATTCCTGGCTGGGAGGGTGGGGAGGGGCTGGGCTGGGCTAGGCTGGAATTCCCAGAGAAGCTGTGGCTGCCCCTGGATCTCTGAAAGTGTCCAAGGCCAGGTTGGAGCAACGTGAGATAGTGGAAGGTGTCAGGATTGGAGTGGGATGACCTTTAAGGTTCCTTCCAACCCAAACCATTCCATGACTCTGTGATTGTGAGCAGGCAAAAACTCTGTTCAGGTGAGTTGTCCTTTGCAAGAAAATCCCACCTCACAAGACAAACAGTGATCTCTGCCATGAGTGAAGCAACCAGTCACCTCCAGTTTCAATATGAGGAAGTTTTAGGCACAACATTTTGAATTAGTGCTCCAGGACCACGGAAAGGATCCAGAGAATCTAGAATTGTAGCCAGGAGTTGTTTTTCTCCTTCCCCAAATTCACCTGCTGTTAGAAATATCCTTTCCATTAAGGCTCTGTTTTCAGTCATGTTAAAGAAGCAGTGAAAAGGCTCATTTGTATTCCAACCATTTCCATAAATGGTTAATTCCTACAGGCTGCAGGAGCCCAGCAGGTTAATGGATTGCTTGTAGCCATCTAAAATGTGGATTACTTATCCCCACAACATCTATTAATGATTTATTAACCCTGTAAGTCAAATCCAAATGTACCCATATTACCAAGGGTGACCCATATTCTGACAGACACGAGCTTAAAATATTTTTTTGACAATCCAATCAGCACAAATGTGTCCTTGGATCAAAGGTGACAGTGGCTTTTTGCAAGCAGACATTACTGCCCTTTGGAAACTGGAATATTGAGTGACTTTTCATTGGAGTGTAAAAGGAAGAAGCATCCTTTAGATGAGCCAAATATGAAGTGCAGAACTGAGACCCACGTAACAAATCCCTCAGCCAGCCCACAACACCCACTGCCACCATTTCACACCATTTCTGTGAGGAGCCTGCCCAGCCCACTGCTTGGAGACAAGAAGGCTTTAATTACAAAATATGCTTGGCTGCAGCTCCATCCTGCCATGTATATTTAATTGTTTGGGAAATTTGCATGTTTATTGGATCCCATTAAACCTGAGATTGGTGAAATGTGGCTTCAATTCACCAACATGAAAGCAATCCTGAGTTCAGAGTGCAGGGAGCCAGCCTGGGGCTCACTGATTATTCAAATTCCACTGAAGCTTTGGGTTTCCACCTAAACTGTGGGGTGGAACTGAGCCTTTGTGTGAGAGCCTGTCCTTTGTGTCAGCCTCTGAAGGGACTGGATTCCAGCCCTCCCTGCACTTCCCAAAGCTGCTGGGAGGGAGGGAATGTGGCATTCACCAACCTGGGAAAAGCAAGGTGGTTTCTATTGCATTCCCTTTAACTTGGAGAGGTCCAGCAGAAATCGGGGAAAAGGACAGAAATTACCTTTTTTTCTCCTCCCCTAACAAATAACATCCAATTCTATTCACACAGGGGTCCTAATTTGAGAGCTAACCATGCTCAGGGAGGAGAAATAGCTTGTGATTGTCCATATCCAAGGATTCTGATTGTTCAGCCTGAGAAGGCTCTGGGATGATCTTTCAGCACCTGAGGGGAGCTCCAGGAAAGCTGGAGAGGGATTTTGGACAAGGGGTGGAGTGCCAGGATAAGGGGGAATGGCTTCCCACTGCCACAGGGCAGGGTTAGATGGGATACTGGGGACAAATTCTTCCCTGTGAGGGTGAGGAGACCCTGGCACAGGGTGCCCAGAGAAGCTGGGGCTGCCCCTGGATCCCTGGCAGTGTCCAAGGCCAGGCTGGATGGGGCTTGGAGCAGCCTGGGATAGTGGGAGGTGTCCCTGCCCATGGCAGGGGGTGGCACTGGATGAGTTTTAAGGTTCCTCCCAACCCAAATCCCAAATTCTGGGATTTCCCTGGTTCCAAAGCTGCTCTTCACAACTCCTTGCAAAAACTGCTTGTTCTGTAGTGATGCTCCTGCAAAGACTCCTGAGAGCAGGGCTGTGCTTCAGGACTGTTAACAGGATGCCATTCCTCAGCTCTGAGATATGCAGATCATCCTCCAAAAGAGGATCTTGCTCTTGCTTTTTAAGGGAACTACATGGTCCTGGTAAAAAATGGATGCAGCTTCCCCTTCTGCTGAGTGGGTTGTGCAAGACAGATTTCAGACATGATGGATGGGGCTCCCTGGTGTGGGAGTATTTGCTGCTTAATGTTCCCTTTTCAGTAGTTTAGGGTTCCTGAATATAGAAATTTCTGTACTGCAAGGAAAGGGCATTTATTTAATATGGGCTCCTACCAGCCCTGGGGTTCTGTACAGGCTCAAGTGGCAATTGGAAAGGGTATTTTATAGCTCCTAGAAACCTTGCAATGGCTTCTTATTTGTCAAAACCATGTTAGCCTGAAATGGAATGATGAAATCCACCCTGGAAAAACCAGTAATTGCTACATCTGCTGCAGGGCTGGGATTTGTGTGTGAAGTAAACCTAAAAATCTCATAAAAGAATGGCTGCTGCAGTGAAGTCCTGATCAGGACCCTCTCCTGACATCTCCAGGATGTCAGAACTTTTCACAGCTCAAAGTTCTTCCTGGATTCTTCCAGCTTTTGAAAACCAAAGGGTTGGCTCAGCATGGCTCCACTCATTGCAGGCTGATGCTGTGGTAGAGTGAAATTTGCTTCCCAAAACTTGCAGTGATGCAGATCCTGGCTTGTCAGACTAATGGAAATTTACTTTTACTGCTGGACCTTGTCTATATTTCAATCACTTCACCGAGGAGCAGAGGCAGGTCAGGCAGGCCTGTTGTGTGATAATGAGATTTACACTCACAGCAGCCTTTGTTTGGAGAGAGTTTTTAACAGTCCCAAGGCATCAGGCTGGAATGGCTCTCCCAGGGATTGTGCAAACCTTTACACTTTAAATAATTTCTTCTCAGCATTTGCCTTTCACTTTAAAAAAAAATATAAAATAAAAATTTTAAAAAGCTTCCTGGAAATTGTCTGCTCACAGGAGAAAGATGGGAAATGGAAAACACTTTCTGGAGCAAACAGATAAAATTAAACAGTAGTGTCTGAGCAAATAAAGTGCCTGCAGTTTAATTACAGCTGAACAATGGTGCAGATCACTCAGTGCCTGCAGCAGACACTTCACTGAGGGCTCTGTGCTTTTCAAATTCTCCATTTGCCAGTTCTTCAGGACACAGCCCAGTCAGGAGAGTGTCAGGGTACAAGGCACAGCCTGACACCAAGTGAAATGATCAGAAAATACTGCAGAGAAGAATTAGAAAAAGAGCCATTATAATTATGGAGCTTTCATCTTGACTCCTTTTCCTTGCTTTTACCTGACATTTCCAACTTCCTTCTGTGTTTCAGGGACTAAGGAGTTTGGAATTCTGTCCTTCTTTCCACCCTCAGCTCATTTTGGTGACCCCACATTATCCAGTCTCTGACCTCTGTGTTCCTTTTTCCCTGACTATTCCCCCTGGGTTCAATGTGCTGTAGCTTCACAAAAAGTAAATGAAAAACCAGTATAAATGAAATACAGCCAGTTTAAATGAAATACAGCCTGTTTAAATGAAATACAACATTTTTGCTTCTGCTGCTCAGCCCTGCCCCAGCTCCCAGCTCACTGCAGAATTGCCTGGAGTCTCTCTCAGAGTTGGACCTCACCTTTTGACATTCCACCAAAACTGCTCTTTCCCAGCTTTTACCAACTTGCCTCATACAAAGCCAGAACCAGTGCAGATAAATCCCTCTGATTTACATCAGCAGAGCTCACTGCAGCCTTTATTTTCTCCTTAAAAACATCTCCCATCTCACTCTGGTGTCTCTTCTCTCCTGGCCATTCAGCCTGAGAGAATTTTCCTCCCTCCTCTTCTCTTTTGTGGGCTTGGAATGTGTTTTCCTTCATTTCCTTTGCCTTTTTTTGTTGCTGTACCTTTTCTGTGTTTGGTCTTAGCCACAGGTTGTCCTATTTAGTCAGGTGGAACTCAGATGTGCTTTTCTGCTTCCAGCCTGCTTTTGCCTGCCTCTATTAATGTCTAGGTTTGTTTTTTCCTTTCATTTTTGATGGCTTGCTGGAAGATAACACTTTTC